AGCTTTATCTATTACATGTACTGTACCTATTACCTGACTGTATCAGTTTATTTATATAATTATTTATTCTTTAATATAGTTAGAAAGTTCATAAACCTAGAAAAGGCCGTTTGAACACATTCTAGAACAGATACTAATTTATAATTGACCTTTTTTTCTGACTTAAGGAAAATAAGAACTTTCTTTCAACAGTTTTGGCATTTTTGCCCAAACCCTGACTACTCAGCAGAAGTCTCAAGTATTGGTAAGTTGGACCAGAGCAGCAGAGCTTTTAAATGTGCTTTTTGTGGTACAGTGAGTGGAGTTTTTATAAATTGTTTTCACCTCCTGGAAAATCTTGACGCCAGTTTTTTTTTTTTTTTTTATCTTGGCTGGAAAACTGTTTGTGATCCAGAGATTACAGTAGACAGCTGAATCTCTATCCCAATGGCACCAAAGCAGTTTCCACACTGCCCACTCTGGATTCCTCTCTGAGGTTCGACATAAGAGCACTTTTTTGTGTCTTTCATTTAAATTCGCCTACAATGAGAAACTGCAGTCAATTTTTGCTGAGCCGCTCTTCTGTTTTGTATGATTAAAGCTTCATAGTGTTTGGCTTAATGTCTGATCGTTATTTTTCGTCAGGTTTAGTAACATTTAGACTGGGATTACCGTACTACTGTTGCTTATAGCTGATGCTCGTGCAGAGATGGACTTTAGGCTTCCCCAGCTGTGTTAAGTCAAGCAGATGTTTCACAGGAAACTCTGATTATAAAAAAAAAAAAAAAATGCTGGTTATGCTTTTTGTCTGGCATGTTTTTTTTGTTGTTTTTTTTTGCTAGGAGTGCATATTTTGACAGGTTGTGCCACAAATTCATCATGAATCTGATGTTTTTAGGTTACCTGCCTCCTCTGCTGCACTCTCGGCTCATTAGTGTCGTTGCTCTGTGAGAACAGTGGGTACATGCTGTTAAACTTCAATCCTCTGTATAACCGGTCTGATCTCTCATGTGGTTGATCTGTGCATGTCATTGTTAGGCCTGTGGTTAGATGGATCTCCACACCTTTAAGCTCCCAAAGACAATGGACAAAACAACAGCCAAGGGCAGCTCTTAGCAAACAGTGTTAAAACACCCAACAAGCGCTTTAATATCTGGTCAATCGGGGTAAATCCTCCAACCGGTCATATTGTAATGTTTTACCTTCATTACATGGCCTTTTCTGTTGAACGCTATACTGTATGACTCTGAAGAGTTTGCATTTTATTTAGCTATTGACAAAATAATTACATTATTCGTTCTACCCTCTCACTGTTTGATGACCAGTTGTATTCTTGTAAGCTACTTTGCCACGCTATCTCATGTTTAATCTCTGATGCTAATGTGAACTATTCATTTACGGCTTATTTGTGTGGATAAAGCACAGTGGGATTCTGTTTCCCATCAATTTCAGCATCACCTTTCCCCAAAATGTAGCTGAGGGGTGAAATTAGCTTTCTCTGCAGGGAGGTTGGGATCTCCCTTAGAAGTATACTGGGTGAGGGGCTTGGCCACCCCTGGAGAGGGAGTAGTGCTTCTTCTCCTCCACATCGAGAGGAGTAAGCTGAGGCGGCATCCGCTCCCTGGATGCCTCTCTTCAGCCATGTCCTAAAAGGAGGAGGCCCAGGAGACGACCCAGGACACGCTGGAGGGACTATGTCTCCCTGCAGGTCCTTGAATGCCTGGGATGTCCTTAGAGGAGATGGAGGAGGTGCTGCTCCAGTAATCTGGTCCAACAGACGTTGTTGCAATGATCTGAAACTTCTAATAAAAATTATAAAATTGTAAGTAAAACAAATCAGTTAATGTTTCTTAAAATAAAATGTAAACATTCTGATTTAAAGTTCTATCGTTAAACACTGAAGGTCAGTTCTAAAGTGCTGCCATCCATCTGCCCGTAATTCGAAACCTGCTTTGTCCTGTCAGCTCACCATCTGTAAAGTTGTTGTGGAATGAAGACCTTCCTGCAGTCTGGATATGGGCCAGCTCGGGTGTGGTTTGGGTGTCATCCCAGGTGTTGAGTGATGATATCAGTGTCTGTTCTTTACTACTATTCGAAGCTTAATGAATTGGCTCAGTGTAGTATTTCCTGTTGTCGGTGACATCTGCAGATTATTCAGAGCTCAGGTGTTTGACAAATGCTGCAGAGCGTGTCAGTGGGAAATATGTTCTTTCAGATTCCCAGACCGTTTATGCAACATATTTCCAACTGCCATAAATATGCAGGCTACTCGGCAAGCTGGAGTAGAAACTACTTCATAAATGTTTAATGAAGGATGGTGTCAATCAAAAGCTGAAGTTAATAAACAAGTAAAGCAAGTGGCAAAGCGCACTTTAGTTTTTAATGTTTCTTATGCTCAGTGGGAATACTAATTCTTCTTGAATAATCTTTAACAGTTAGCGGGGATTGAGGTCGTTTGAGTTGGGAGTTTGGTACCATTGCATACTATGTAGAAATAAAGCTGACAAAAGATTTTTGTTGAACAACAAGCCTTTTGTTTGAGTGCTTTCACTGCAAATCACATGTTCACTTCCGAACCTTTTCAAACTCTTTGACGCGTTAAGATCTTTTGATTGCAGCTTGCATGATAGAGGAAATCAGTGCTTCAGCCAAAAAGTAAAAGACATTTTGTTTGCTAAAATACTGTAAAGTAAAATAGCAGGAATGAATGACTGACAGAATGTGCAGCTCTGCATGTTAGAGCCAAGGCCCAAACAGCAGTAAAAACACACACAGATGAAGCAGAGCAACGCTGAGGAGTAGCAGCAGACACAATGGATAATTTAAGAACTTCAAGACACTACCTGATTTGTAATTTATTTCCACCTTAGAATCTACAATATTAGAATATACCGTATGTAGAATATATGTTTACATGTGAAGTTAATACCATATAATTAGCTCCCATTATCCTTAATAACTGCCTCTGGTGACTAAAAGTAGTTTAAAACATCCAATTTTTTTCCGTCTCTTAAAAGGAGAATTCTGGTCATATTCAGAATTCAAACTTCTTAAACACTGCAGCATGATTACCTGTCAGTGTTATTTCTATATGAATATAACTTCTTTCACAGTTACCTTATTAAAAGTCCATGGCCCAGATAAACGATTAACAAGCTATAATGTAATATAGTTTTGGTTTTTTTTACTTCATCCTACTACATTATTTCCATCTATATTTTAAAATGTTAAATAAGTAAACTGAATTGGATCAACGATGTCAAATCACTGATATCCAATCCAGGTGTGTAATTGGTGCATCTCTAGTTGATGGATGAATTGGGGTTTTGAGCGGTTGGCATAAAATAAATGTTGTTAAAAATATAATATTAACTTTTCAATTCCAAACTAACATGTTAATATTGATTGTGGGTTGCTAGAGTTTTTTATTTTTCTCCAATCATCAGTGTTTGACTGCAGACAGAAACAGCCTTGGAGCAGCCAGTGGTTCATGACACACCTGTACTCTGCATGCTGCTTTTATTTTTTTGTTCTGTTCTCCTGACACAGTCCTCTGAGCTAAAAATGCAAATTCAGTTGAAATAGTAGACGTTGGGGAAGGAGCTATATCTTGGATAACATTTGCATGCATGCAATAATTGAACATGTGACCTAAAGTCTGCATTTTTTAAAGGACTGTCTGACATTTCGGACTCGGACTGAGTCGTCCCACTGGGTTTATGTCATTGTCAAACAAAGCCTTTGTGATTTAATGTTGTGATTTTAAGTAAACAAGGGGGGAACATGATGAATAAAAAAAAAAAAACTGACTTTTTACAGTGCTGCAGATGATTGTCCCTCTTTCGCTTCTTTGGATGATCAAGTTTAGAAACGTGTCATGCTTAAAAGGATGTTTGTTCTACGATCTTTTATAATGTATGCAATTCATATTTGATTTTTAAGGATTTAAACTGAGGGTTTCAAAGTTTAGAACAAGGTACATAGCTTTGTTTGTTGATTTTGGTACTTATGTCATTGGAATAGGCAAGGACTCCACCAACTCAAATAAACAGTAGAAGGGTGAAACTTGGATTAAACCCTTTCTTTTCCATAATAGATAAATAAAAAAAGATTTTCAAATGATGCTAATGAGCAAAATGTGGTTGAGGCCATTTATCCATAAGTCCCATATGTTTTCTGTTTGGTGTCAAAGAGTGTTTTTGGGACAGAATAACCGAAGGTAGCTACTTCAGAACCTTATCCTTTGTAATCTTTTCATCCTAATCCTCTGTTTTTGTCCACAGTCTCTACATGCATAACAAGCTGTAAGAAGGCCGCCCCCCCACCTGTGCCTCCGCGCACAACCTCCAAGCCCTACATATCGGTAACGGTGCAGAGCAGCACAGAGTCGGCGCAGGACAACTACTTAGACCAGCAGGATAGGAGGTCAGAGGTCAACAGCCAGTCCAGCCACGCTCACAGCAACTCCTCCGACAGCCTTGACAGCACCCGTGCCAACAGTCTGGCCTGGGGTATCCCTCGACCTCCGCACATCATCCCCATTCCTGTTGCTACGCCGAGGGAGCCAATCGTCCCTAGCACCGCCAACGCTTCCACCGAGACAAGTGACTCAGTCGTCCACAATGAATCTGTGAAATCAGGATCTAGTAAAGGGAATTTAACAGCAGAGGAACCTTTTGTAGCCCCAGTACCGAGGCGGAAACTGTCTTCTATTGGGATACAGGTAGGCTAATAAAGTTCATCTTATGTGATGTAGAAGGAAAATAGTTGAAGCCCATGCAGTAGAAGTTGTTGGATATGACATGTGTTTCCTGGAGTTAAAAACCAACAATAGGCAAGGCAAGTTCTACAGCACAATTCAGTACAGAGACAATTCAAAGTGCTTTACATGAATCAAACTGTAAAATAAAAGAAGTAAAGAGAAAAGCATGAAAAAAAGCAGGTAGCTAAGCAAAAACAACAGTTGAACCACAAACTTAAACTAACTTATTCTTTTTTTTACTAGCCCCAACCCAAACACCTGCAGTCTTTAATATACTTGGGGAGTGTTGGCCTAGTGGTTAGAGCTGTGCACTTGTGCGCTGAGAAGGTTGCAAGTACGCAATTCGATCCTCACAGTCTGCACTCTAGGTCCCTGAACAAGACCCTTAACTCCACACCGCTCCCCGGGCGCCGCACAGTGGCAGCCCATGCTATACAAGGCGATGGGTTAAATGCAGAGGTGAATTTCTCCAGTGTGAGATCAATAAATTTCAATTATTATATTATTATTCTAATAAATTCACATGCTACTCCTGCTGGCTGTGTTACGTTCTTTGATCTGGTTCATTAATAATTCAGCACAACAAAAAATAGAAATCTCAATAAGTTATTTTTTCTTAAAATAACTGCATTTTTCCTTGAATTGAGGAGATAAGTAAGGCACTTTGCCAATGGAACAAGACAATTTCCTTTTAAATTAAGAAAAAACAATTTTATTGTCTTATTTCAAGTAAATATTATCTAACTATCTTATTTTAAGAGTAAAAATACTCATTCCATTGGCAGATCATCTTATTTACCTGCTCAAATTAAAGGTAAAAATACTTAATTTAAGAATTTTTGTACTTATTTCTGGATTGTTTTTGCAGTGTTGTTTTCAGTCGAGTTCCAGTTAACAGTGTGCAGACAAAACGCATGGCATCACAGGACTAAAAGGAAGGGTCTCTCATTGTGAGCATCTTCGTAAGGCGTGATAACACATTGTTAATGATTAGGCACCACCCAGATTAGTTATATCAACAGAATAATGGCCACAACAGGGACTAGTAAGACAACAACATGGAGCTTCACTTTACTCAGGAAAATCAATCAACAGATCAATTAACAGCAACCTGATCTGCACTCTGATCCATGATTTTAAATTCCTACTATCTGTGTATCTTTTGAGGTTTGTTTATTTTCTAAATCACACATATAAATACTTGTATACAGTTTGACTAACATAAACCATGCATGACCCTGTTTTCTAACCCAGCATTTTTTCTGCCTCCTTTTGTTTTTGTGTTTATTCCTTTTAAGGTCGACTGCATTCAGGAAGCCCCCAGAGAGGAGACCCCGCCTCTGGCCAAATTCCAGTCGATAGGAGTACAGGTGGAGGACGGGTGGCAGTAAGTCCTCTTCCTGTCCTTTTAACAACGTGAGGAATTTATATTTTAGCCACACACACATTCTTCTGACTGTCCTCCTCCCTCCCTCCAGTATGGGGCTTTTGTATTTATGTAAAACCATCCTGAGTGTCTTTCTGTGTGTGTGGAGTGTTTGTGACGTTTCAGCTCATTCCTCATAGGAGCATTTACTATTTAAAGATCTCCTCCAGGCCAGTTTGAATATTTCAAATGATCATAAAGAGCTTCTTTTTGTTTTGTGCACTATATTTATTTTGTAATCATATGGATATGTTTATTTCACTATAGGTACAGAGAAAGTTCTTCTAAATAAAACAAATCTTTTTCTGTACAATTTAGTGCTACAGTTTAAAATGGAGGGAGGCTTTAAATATGTTTCTGCTTATTGTTGAAACCAATGTCCTGTTTGCTGCAGTGCAGATTTATGTTTGTGAGCTAACTCTGATTAACTATTGGCTCTGGATAAAGATGATCTTCTTTAGGTAGAGTTTGATTGGTCAGTTCAAGAATTAAATAAATAGCTGTTCATCACATGGTTTTACATTCGGTTTGTCATTCTTTTTTATTCTCATGTGCATTAAAGTACTTTCAGCGTTTTGCCTGGACTGCATATGATATCCGTTTCCTGAACGGTTACAGGAAATGGAGACAATTAGGCAGAATTCACATGAAGTCCATTTATTCATTTGCTTCGTTGAGGCAAGAAGCTCTGCTCTCAAGTTTCTCCTGTCTTAAGCAGACGGAGTGACCCAGCACTAAAACTCAGCCTGGAATGAGATAGTTCTTTGTTTTTTGTTTTCTAGGCCAGAAGCAACGCTTTGCAAAAGTATTTACACCCATCGACGCTTTCCACATTTTCTCACGATAAGAATATTAACTTTAAAGGACTTTATTTGACAAACTAATGGAAAGGAATGTATATTTGTAAATATGCAGGTAAATTTTGAAAATATTTAAGGATAAAAATGTGAAAAAATGTGTGGGGAACTGTACCTTTGCAGACGCTCAGAAACTAAAACACCAAGTTGGACGATTGAAATTTTCAATAAACATTTTGTTATATTAGTTAGGGTAAACTCGATATCAATAAAAAGGAAAATTTTTGATAATCGATATTATGTGTAAACAAAATGAAATGTACTGGAACCACTGGTGTAAATTATTCCAGTTCACCTCAGACTGTGGGTTTGAATATTTTTGTTCAACTGGAGACTAATCAATTCAATTCAAAAATACCTTATAAAGTATTAAAGTTACTTTATGTTTAGCTCTGTCATTAGCTGTAGGCAGGAAAATACTTCTATTATTATCATTATTATTATCATCTCTTCAGGTCTTAAGTCGATAACAGTCTCTAACCGCTTTTCCCACAGCATAATACTGCCATACCATGCGTCACTATGGGGTATATTCAGGATCCATATGGGGGGGTTCCTGTATGTTCCATATTTTTATTAATTAAATAGAGGTGGTGTCACTTAATAATTTGATGGCATCTGAAGGCAACTTAACAATTAAAAGTTATTCCAAAAAAAAATAAAAAATCCACTGGACTTGGTTTCAAAGTTTAAAGAATAGCTTTGAGTTTGAGGTTTCATACAGTAGCCCAACAAGGCCTTGTTTTTGTTTAGAATAAATGCAAATTGGAACAGACGAAGGGGGTCCAGCCCTTTGAAGCCATTAAGAGCCATCTTTTATCACAAAGACTCCTAATCAAATTAGGGATACATTATATTTGAATTTTGGCTCATAGATATGTGCTATTTTAAAACTCATCTATCCAATTAACTGATGATTTTTTTTTTCCTAAACCATTTTTTTTCCAATTAACTAATGATTTTAAACCATTTTTTTTTATTACTTTGTTTATTGAAAAAGACAGGTGAATTGTGTTAAGAACGAATCCTGCAGGCTGAACTGCTTCATGAATAGTTCTTAAGTTTCCTTCCTAATTTTATTTCTAAACATTAATATTGAGCACAGAACCAAAACAAATGACGCCAGTTCAATATATTTTCTTAAGATTAAGATTGTGTCAGTTTCAATGCTTTAGTTCTACTTATAGACCCTTCTGAGCTAATCTCCCACTTGAGCTGCAAGGATTAATTTTGAAACCACTTGTTTGTCACAAAAACAGTTCCTTTAATGTCGGTTAGTTATATTTGTTAAATGGCTGAGGGCCAATATTTAGTTTTAAAGCTAACATCGACTTATAACATGCAAATAATTTTGTAGATTCCAACATTAAATATGGGAAGGTGTGAAACAACAAAACTTTTGCAATAAATAGCTTTTTGCTCTGTTGGAAGGACTAATTTCTTAACTGAACTGAACTGAAGCCTAACTTTGTCACTTTGTTTTGTTCCAGAGTCAGTCGCTCCAGCAGTATGGCATCCAAACAAGAAACAGACTCTGACACACAGGACATCTCTGCCATTTCTCATATCAGCATTGCCAAAACCTTTGAGAAAAAAGTCATGGTCAACAGTGCCAGTCAGTCCATGAGTTCCCCACCTGGACAAGACTCTTTAGACAACGGAGACCCGTCTGGCAACACCTCCTCCCCGCCGCCTCCCAGGCAAATCCTCAACCGCTCCACCACACGGAGCAGCTCCTCCTCTTTCTCCGAAAGCCTGGACCCGGCGCTGGACCCCTCCTCTCTGCCCCCTCCAGACCCCTGGCTCGACAGCGGAAACGGGAACAACGGAAGCGCCTCTCAGAGCGGAGGAGGCGGGACGCTGTGTCGGAGAGACGGCCACTGGTTCCTGAAGCTGCTGCAGGCCGAGACGGCACGGATGGAGGGCTGGTGCCAACAGATGGAGCAGGAAACCAAAGACAACCAGCTCTCAGAGGAGGGTGAGGGTTAGCAGTGGACTCACTAGACCAGGTCTCAGGGTTAACTTGCTGGTAGTAGTAAGGAAACGCCAAACATTTGATTCTGTTATGAAATAAATAACCAAAAGCATCCAAAGCCCCACCTTTACCTCTACATAAATATGGACATCAATAACATCCCTTTCTTAATCCAACAGGTTTAAAATACTTTATATTTTATAGATGTTTATATAGAAGTTTTTGTAAGCTTTCAGAATCAGGTTTATTGCCATTGTTAGTGAAGGAGTTCACAAACTAGGATTTTTTTATGGTACAATCGTGCAACATAAAACATATAATATGGAATAGGTAGATCAAATTATAAAGATATCTAAAACACTGTGGGTATAAGGCATGCAATAAAATAGACTAATATATACACTTAAGATAAAAATATGGATATAAAATATAAAAAGTAAAATAGCATCTTACAAGGAGTGCAAATAGAGCAGTGTGCGAATAGAGCAGTGTAAATGGCATGGACAGGTTATAGAGTCTGACATATAGTTAGGTGTTCATGAGTCTTACTTTGTGGAGTGAGAGAGAGCATTGCACGCAAGGTTTAAATACTTTGTGAAATATCCGTTGTTTTAAGTTATAGTTTTAGTCTTTTGTGTAAAACAACTTTAATCACAGGGACTAAAGAAAATTAAATCCCAGATGACGACAGTCGGCCAAAGGACCTGACTGCCTTACCTGCCATCTGCTGGCGTAATGTGGTACAGTGGGGGAAAAAAGCTGAAAAAAATAGACCTCATATCAATGCATTATGGCTAACGAATACTTAGCCCATACGCTCTTAAAATTTAATTTGTTTTAATTTGTTTTTTTAAACACGTATTACAGTTTAAGTTTGTTTTAATTTTGTTTTTATTTCACTTAACAAAAGGTGTTTTAATTCTAGTGTTCATTATTTTCTTAGTTTTAATTAACAATAATTACCTTGATTACATAAGAAGGCCATATTCAGCCTGTGAAAGCTTAGTAATGCTCGACGCTCCATGTACGCTCACAGTGGAAATCAGACACAACATCTGCAGCATTTCTATCCCACGCGGCTTATCTGCCGTGGCGTGTACGGTGTTACATCATTTTGTATCGTTATAATGCATCCTGGTAAATGGTAAATGGCATGTACTTATATAGCGCCTTTATTCAAGTTAGGAGACTTGACCAAAGCGCTTTACAATACATTCATTCACCCATTCACACACCCACTCACACACTGATGGTGGCAAGCTACATTGTAGCCACAGCTGCCCTGGGACTCACTGACAGAAGCCGGGCTGCCGTACACTGGCGCCACTGGGCCCTCTGACTACCATCAGTAGACAATGCAGGTGAAGTGTCTTGCCCAAGGACACAACAACACTGAAAGTCGGAGTCGGGGCTTGAACCGTCAACCCTTCGATTTCAGGGCAAACTCCTACATCCAACGCCACTGTCGCCCAAATAATGCATCCTGGTATTCACACCCCATCAGATACAGTTCCCCCATGTTAAGCAGGGGGAACAGTATCTGATAGGGTTTATAGGCCCATCAGATACAGTTCCCCCATATCAACCAGGGGGGACAGTATCTGACGGGGTTTATATGCCCATTTTACACAGGGGGAATGGTAGATAGGAAAGATACTGCAACATCTATCTATCTGGTTTACTCTCTCTCTATCTATTTATCTTATCTATGTCTCCTTTTCTCCATATATACTAATGTTTAGTCGTTGACACTTTCCATAGTTCCCCTGTGGCGTGAGCACAGAGCAGCTGATGCAGGGGAAAGCGTATCTGATGGGGGAACGAGGCTTGATGTAACAACGGCACGCTTACAGCACTACGCCAAGTCCTGAAAACAACAAAAACCCAGAACTCGATGCAGCCTTTAAGATGAGATATACTACTATCTGACATAAGATTGCAGTGCAGAACTCTGTTCTCACTTGCTCTAATCAATCTGTTGGGCAAACACAGCATGGAGGGGATGATGCTGTAATACCTGGGGTTAACACACACAAGCAGGCCTGTAATCTCCAGAATTACACAAATCTAGTCTGGAACTGATTAAACCCTCAGATTAGATTAGTGCTTTGACATCAGCCTTAGACATACAGCAGCATTATGCAGACGTGCAAAGCCTACCATAAATGCAAACCATTTAAAAGCGCTTCAGGGGTCGTTATCAGATGGGCTCCTCTGATACGGATGAGGCTCTGCTTTTGTTCAGCGAGGATTTTTGCATTCTCAAGAGTAGGCGTTTGCTTGTGACCTGCCACAGTTTAGTAGTTTGCATTAAATCTGATGTAAATCTGCAGTCCAGAAGTGGGATCTGGCCACACAGTAGTCTGAGGCCTGCAACTTTAAAATCCACCAATCAGAAAGGAGCCCCAGTTTTGTCAAGGCAGATGTTGTCCTAATTTGACTGTGCAAACAGACTAATGTTGTGACAAGTCACAAGTTGCATCCAAGTCAAATAAATGGCTGTAGTGTCCAAATAGAGGATTGGGTTTTCCACTTTTATGCCATTCATATCCTGTTAAGACAAAAATGCAGACATCTTGAGCCCAAGAGCTCTGATAACACCATAATTCCTAATTATGCACAATAATTTTGTTTTCCTTTCTCTGTAGTGCTGGGGAAAGTTCGCACCGCGGTGGGAAGTGCTCAGCTCCTAATGTCTCAGAAGTTCCAGCAGTTCCGGGGACTGTGTGAGCAAAACCTGGTGTGTATATTTACACTTTACGACACAGCAACATTCAATCCAAAACACACAGTTGGTGGCCCGAACACAAGAACAGAACTTGGAGTTATAAAAAGCTGCATGTCTTCCTATGCATAAAAATGCTTTCATGTACTTGAAAGCTGACTAATCTGAAAGCAGACATGATGCACTGCATTGGAAGCTACAGAACCCATCATGAGGATCCTGCAGCACAAAACACAAGAAGCTTATATTAAGCCAATAAGCCCTGACGTCTTTTCATGAAAATGCCGTTATACAAAATGTAGCCAAATACCAGCACATGACATGTGGTACTCTGATGTGATTTGTCCTGAGTGAAGAGCAGGAAGTGCTGAAGCATTGTAATTGTGAATAGTGTGGAGTCAACAGAAGGCAGTCTGTTTAAAGCGCTACTGACTTTGACTGCATCTGTGCAGGATTTCAAATGAGTTTATGCCTCGTGAATATTTCCACTTATTTTATAATATTTACTTAACTTATTAAAGTATTTATACAGCGGCTTCATATGACAGATCACCAGCAGATATAAGTGGGAGGAGACTGTTGGTTGTTTTTGCTAAAAAAAAAAAAAAAATGTCAGGCAAGTGAATTATGTGACTATTTCCCTTTTTTTTTTTTTTTGCTGTTTTTCTATTGTTTTTCTATTGTGTTTATATATATATATTTTTTTTTTTTAACCTGAAATCAAAATAGTGTACTTTGAAGTTTGTGGTTGCACTCTAGGAAAGAGGTATAAACTCTGGACCTTTTTTGACATTCAGATTTTCAGAAAATTTGTTAGCTCATTGAAAAGTGTTATACTTGTATTTATACATTTTTATTTTGTGCAAAAAATCATATTGTGTTAATCCCTTTACTCTTCTCAAGCAGCAGTATGGGTTTTGAAAGACTGATTTCCTTTTATTGTGAGCAGTATTGTTATACAGCTCCATCTAGTGGTGAATCTAAAAACTGCAGCTGCGGCCATTGGACACTGAACACACACAAACATCACATTGCTTTGCTTGTAGCTAGAATAAGTGTCATGCTGCTCAAAAGACACAGACAAAATATGAAACAAATTTCTGTGCCTTATTTCAAATCATTTAAAATATTGTATTTGCAATTCGAACAGTGCTAATTTAGAACTGATTAAGCAATACTTACTACAAAAACATTGTAGTAACCTTAGTGATTACTGTCTAAGGTTTCAGCTGAGTTGAAACATTTTCTAAACAATTATGATCTGAGAAACAATTTATAAAGAAATTAGAATTTAGCTTTTTTCTTTCTCCAAATATTTTTGCAAAACTTGAGCTGCTGCACCAATTCAAATATCCAACTGTTCAGATCACAATAATGTTTTTTATGTATAGCTTTTTTAAACACATTTTTTTATATAAATGCTTATATAAATGCTTAGGGATCAAACAACACATCTGGTCTAAAATGTGCTTTAGCTTCCTAATATCCTAATAGTTATTAATAATGAAGTTTGAGTTACTTTTCTTTCCATCAAAACCTGTTGGGATCACTCTCTCTGTCCTGACTTCCACGAGCTTTGTGATTAGTTTTATCTATTTGCCTTATTTTTAAAAATAAGTGTGAAAATCAGGCTTCTTCTTCTCTGCAAAGCATTTTTATTTCTTATTTCTACAGTAAACGCAGCTCTAGTCATTAAATCCTACTTATTTTCTAAATACGACCTGCTTTAATGCATGGTAATACTGCTAATACTTTAAAAGAAAACATTTCTGTTGATCAGTTTTCATACACAACTTTTTTCACTTTTGCAGTGAAGTCAACATTCTTCTAATTGGATAAAAACAGAAGGTAAAGGAAAGTAAAAAAACAAAAAAGAAAGAAATTGTGAGTTCATTTAGTCACACCATTAAAAAGAAGAACAAATGTTTAAGAAGCAAGTGATGTTGGTTTAAGGACGACTACTCGCCGTTCCATTGGTTTCACCATGTTTATCTTTCTCTGGTCAGAATGTGACTGCAAACCCACGGCCCACAGCCCAGGACCTGGCTGGCTTCTGGGACCTGCTACAGCTATCTATCGAGGACATTAGCCTCAAGTTTGATGAGCTCTACCATCTCAAGTCCAATGACTGGCAGCCCGTACCGTCTGCGGCCACCCAGTCATCCCCTGAGCGGAAGGTACTTCCCACCCATGCTGCCCAGTGCCCTGGCTGGGGTAGGAAAGCCGCCGAAACCGGCCTCTCTCCTCCCACCACCACCGCCATTTCTCTCCCACTCTTTTTAAACTCTGTCCCAGCGTGGGATGAACTCTTAACAAGGCCTCGCTGTCCAACACAGAGGGGCCCGAGAGATCCCTGTTGGCATGCATGGGAAAAGAGCCATCCCAAAGAGGGCTGGGGCTGCTGTGTTTTTAAAGTGTAAAGCCCTGCTTTGAGCATGCATGCATCATTTATCTACATGTGTGTCTGTGTTGCAGCGGAGCATGGCTAAGATGCACTGGTGAATGCGACCAAATGCAGCCTTGCTTTTGCTCATTAACTTGGCTACATTCATCTTGATGTAGCCTTTATTTATTTATTTTTTTTGACTTGTCTGTGACTTCTGAGTCTGTTAGCCTCTTTTTTGGCTCTTCGTTAATTTGCTTCTTCTACAAGTCGTGCCTCTCTTTAGGGCCCACACATTAACATTCTGTTCCTACCTTTGTTCTTAATGATTATTTGTTACTTTTTTTCCTTTTGTAGTTTAACATTGTGGACTAATCAGGGACATAAATCATTTTATATGTCAAATTGTTACATATATTTATGGGTGTGCTTTAGTGGCGCAGTGGTTAGCACACATGACCCATGTACGGAGGCCTTAGTTCTACACGTTGCCGACCCGGGTTCGAATCTGACCTCTGGTCCTTTGCCGTATGTCTCTCCCCATCTCTTTCCTATCAGCCTACTGGGCAAAAAGAGTCACTACTACTGTAAAAAAAAAAAAAATTGTTAAATGTAGTTAGAATTTTATAGAGCATTGCTTTCTAAGGATTTTATGAGACACCGACATTTGTCATTCTCTTTGAGCTGGTAAAATATGTATGATGCAGTACTGAGGCCATTTTATATGAAAGGAGAAAAAGCCAAAAAAGTTTTTGTTTAATTAACACTGGGAACTACATTATAAACATCATTTAGTTTAATTAAATATTTTTCACAAAAAAACATACAAAGTCTCTTTTAAAAACTTAATTTACTCAAATGTCTATGATTATAGACACATAGAGATTGTCAAAAAAAAAAAACATGAGTTTGGCTAGATTCTGTATGCAGGCCACTGCTTACACCCACGTGTATGTCATAGATTTACTGCTTTTAGGTGGAAATTTTAGACTTCTTTTTTTGCTACGATTTAGATCAACCCTGAAAGCTAGGCTGCCCTGGAGCAGGTTTGATGTTCAGAGTATGTTACCATGGTAACTGGCCTCAGTCGGAATTAATCCAGCTTCGCGGTACCTGGAGGTTAGGATGAAACCAGAAGTTGTCTCGCTAACCCAGTTATCCAGCTTCCTGTAAACAGAAAATTGGGATTGAACCTGACGTTGTCTACTAACCCAGTAATCCAGCTTTGTTGTGCAGACCTCTAGTTGAAGTCTCTGTCTGGTTGTCCCATAGTTACATTGTCTTCTAATAGATGTCAGGATTATAGAGAGAAGTGACATTTTTGTAGGTTCCTTTTTTTATTTTTTACATCCACCTCTAAGTCATTATACATATTTGCTGACTGATTTTGATTTTATAATCACTTTTGGTTTCAGCAACCTGAATAAAAACTATACACTTATTTACAGATGAGTAAACTTAAACACAATGCAGAGGTCAGAATGAGTCGTGAAGTTCTGGGGCTTTTATTTTCACATCTCTGTTTAAATTTTTATAGACGATAGAAACACAAAGTTTAGATACAGACTTGGAGGATTTAGAGAGGGATACATTTACAGTTTGGGGGAGGAATTCTGTGAGCAATTTGAAAGAAAACCATAATTCCTCCAGCGATAGCGAACACATCATCTCAAGTTAGACAAGTTGTACTATAAAAATACTTAAATTCATTAGTGTCGGCTGAAATTCCAGGCTGTGAGGATCATTTAAACATTGTTTAAATTAAAACTTCAAAGCAGCTTTTACTTTACACTGGGTCAACCTGCTAAATTACGTAACACCTTTGAACACATCTTTCAAAACACTGCGCCAGTCGCTTCTGATCTAACATGCTGAAACAACTCAGTTTACATTCAATAAATATGGCACACCTCTGGTAAGAGACATTCGGAGGGAAAAAAGATGAAAACATTAAAGTAATAAAACTTACTACACCCTGGCTTCCTTCCATGTTGCTCTCCATTGTTTACTTTCCTGATTTTTGTCACAATGCAGCCAGCGACCTGTTAGACCAAGCTTTTTTTGCCATTGGGAAGGGAGCCAAATGCTGATTATTAGAAGGTTGACCCGTGCCTGGAAAAACATGCGTTAACACACTATTTTCAGTGGCAAAGAGACTTTAGAGTCATAGCAGTAGATCTGCACCTTCTTTCCTTTTGCAATGTAATCCCAATCATGTAACTGCCTGCATGTAATACTAGACAGATTGATATATTTAAAGTGCAATCCATTCATCCTGTTGCACCGGCAGCATATTGATATATTGTAGTGGCCAAGATGCTGAAATTCTTGATCTTTGAACCATTCCAAAAAAGTAAAAAAAAAAAAAAACAATCCACTGGATTTTGTTTCCAAGTTTGAAGATGTTTCGCTTCCAATCTGGAGGCTTTTTCAATATAATATGTCAGAATTGGGCTCTTTAAGGTCCACATTATAAAGCCTTGACCTCAATGCTATTTCTGACATTTTGAATTGAAAGAGCCTCCTGGATGGGAAGCGAAACGTCTTCAAAAGTCCAGTAGATTTTTTTTTTTACTTTTTTGGAATGGCTATGGCCTTGATGACTGAGAATCCAGCATCTTTGAACTATCTTTAAAAATATATAGTTGGCCAAAAGAGGTTATATTAAAGAGAATAAATAAAAAATCTAGAAAAGGCAGGAGAAAAAATAAAAATCTCGAAGTACGGAATGTTGAAGGGGCAAATTGACGAGCACCTGCTTTTTGTTTCAAATCATTGTAAATGTTGTGGCCGTCTTGTGACCCTTTTTAATATTCAGCATACATCCACTCATGTTACCATTTCAAGTGGTTGAAAGTGTGTCCTTCTCAATGTTTACTTCCTTAATGTAGCTTTCTATGCTGTCCCTGTTTTTCTGTGCGATCGTCCAGTTCACTACACATTGTCTCTATCAGTAAAAGACTAAACAGTTTTCAGATTCCTGTCAAACTTATTTGAACAGAAGAAAAAAAATAGGACTCTTAATAGATTACATTTTAACACACTCTTTCTGTCATTCTAACTTTAAACCCGTTACAGAGCGAGGACAAGGCAGCCCTTCCTGTGTCCAAGAAGCCTAATAAGACGCGGCCAACGCTTGCCCGCGAGAAGAGTGCCGACTCCTCTTCAACATCTTCATCAGCCTCTGCAGAAAAGCAGAGACAAGAGGCTCGCAAACGCCTGCTGGCTGCTAAGAAGGCTGCCTCGTTTCGCCAGAACTCTGCCACGGAGAGCGCGGACAGCATTGAAATTTACGTCCCCGAGGCCCAAACTCGCCTCTGAGAGGAAGACATGAGCGAGAAGGATCCTAGGACGGATAAGTGTTTTCTCTGGAGAAAAAAAAAAGAAAAATGAGGAGGATGTTTATTCAGGTCAGATGAATTATTGTGAGTAAGGAAGGGGTGTGTAGAGGGGCAATGCCAGTGAATGGGTATATTTTTAACATAATCATAGGCTGGTCCTGGTTGCAAATGATAATAAACCATTTATATCAGACTGTAAACTCATGAAGCTGAAGATTCCTCTTCTCAGGCTGCCAGCTGATGAACTTTATCATTTCTTGTCACTTTTTCTTGATATCATTAAAAAAAAAGTTATTAAAGTTATTAATATAACAACTTTAGGTTTAAAAACTTTATGAAGACTGTTTAGAAGTTCTTATATCTCGGCTCTAAGATTTATTAAGCGGACAGAAGGTACACTGGAAAAAAAATCTAAATCTAGATAATACATTTTTTTTCTTAAAATAAGTGCATTTGTTCTTAAATTGAGGAGGTAAAAGAGACATTTTGCCAATGGAACAAGACAATTTATTTTTAAAATAAGAAAACGCAAATGCATTGTGTTATTTCAAGTGCATTCTATCTAAATGTCTTATTTTAAGAGTAAAAATACTCATTGCATTGGCAAATCATCTCATTTACCTACTCAAATTAAGGGTAAATACACTTAAATTAAGATATTTTTACTATATTTTTCCAGTGTAGGCATCATCGCCTCTGTCTCCCACTCTCTTGCTCTCTCTTCTCAATCACTGGCTATCTTGTAGCTTCGCAGAGCAGCTCCTTGTGGCCATCAGACGAGTTGCACATAAATCCACCCCATCTGTCTTCTGTGTATTTCATTTTTCTTTAACTGTAGATTTGGGCTTGGTTTCAATGCATTCAGACCAGGCTGTTCTGAATATTTGTGGGTACGTTGAAAAACAAACTCAGATGTGTGAACAGCTATTTTTTGTGTTTAACTCCTTCAAACTGGCGTATGTATTTGTGTCTAAGAATTTAGCATTTAGTTGGTTTTTTTTTTATTGTTTTGAATGGTATTAAACCCAGATGGAGGTATGTACTTTCATAATGGCTGCCTGATTTGTAGATGGAAAATCTGAAAACTCTTTTTAGTCCTTGTTTGTTTGGTTTTTTTCCTTTTTTGTGTGTTAACTTCAGATCCATGGATATTTTAGGGTATTTTCTGTTGCATTATGTACATTTCAGTGCTTTGAGTAGCATAATTAAACATAAAGCTTGCACATTTTAAAATTATCTAAGGCTTTTAAGTTGTGCAGTCTGCACGCTGCTTAATATCTAATTTTCTTGGTTCCCATTTAATACCAAAATCATCCAAACACATTTTTCCATCCTTTTTTCCACTCTCCACATACAGTTTTTTTTTTTTTTTTTTTTTTACCATAATCTCTTTTGATTACATTAAATGTATAAATCATTTCCTTTTTATCATGTAGTCAAAGTCAACATTTTTTTTCTGTCTTCGAGGAAAGCCAAAGATTAATTCACTGTTTTCTATTCAGCTCATGTAATAAAATGTCAGCAGAAGGGAAACTCAACAGTTGACTGTGAAAACAGATGGGAGTGGACTTTACCCAGAGCAACATATGTACTGCAGATTTAACATTTGGATAAAAGGCAGGAAGCTTCAGCAGAGCTGCCCAGCGTTCAGAACCACCGCGCTGCCCTTTCTGACGCAGAGATCTAATTTAATGTAAAGGATTGTTTCCGACCTCAGGAGGGCAACGGTGCCTACATAGCAAACCAGTTTTCAGTTATCACACCAAAAGGAAAGAATGGAGACTTATAAAAGACTAACTTTCCCTGTCCTGTTCTGCATAAACAGACCTGTGCATAAGTATTCATACCCCTTGAACCTTTTTACATTACATTACAACAAGAGATGCACCAATCTGATTTTAATATTGGTATTGATCCCGATATTTAAGCAAATTCTACATCCGGTATCGGTCAAAATGAGCTCAATCCATAGAGACTGTTGTTCTCTTCACTCTATTTCTATAAAAAAATGATTTAATAAATACAATCAATGATCAAGGATGGCATTGGTCCTGGTAACATGATTTACTGTTTATTACTTTCTTTTTTGACCTCATACTGATCTTAAGTTGCTTTGTTGGATACATATCTCTGCAATTATACATATATTTGCTTCTAGAAATTAGTTTGACTGTTCCTTGGATTGGAAGGGAAGAAATAAGGATCAGTGCATCCCAAGTTAAAACCACAGACTTTAATATATATGTATGCCATAGATGCAAAGCAGTGCAGGATTGTAAATTGGGATGAAAACTTTTTTTTCCTTTACAATTCATTGTAGATAGCCTCTTTGTTCATTAAAAAAGCAGCCCACAACATAATGCTACCACCACCATGTTTTGCAGCAGCAGGGGGTTATGTTCATGATGAGGGGGTTGTGGTAATTTTCTGCCACTCATTGCATTTTGCATGAAGGCCTAAAGTTCAGTGTTGTTCTCACTCACCTGAGAAGCTTCCTGCACACGTCTCCTTCATGGTTCTTAAGAGACTTCAAAGACTTTCATGGCCTTCTTTCACTAGCAGCTCAGGATCTCTGCAGCATTTCCAGATTTACCATAAACTTAATTGGCTGCTTTTCCAGTTAATGCTCTCCTCGCCTGGCTTAGCTAGCCATTTCACTGTTTTTAAATGATTAATTAAACAGCGGGTAATTCTATTTATTTATTTATTTTTTTGTCTTTCCTGACATGTCTGTTTTTTTCGTTCATCTCCTTCATTTGCTGCTCTCGGAAATTCTCTGACGCCTTTACAGATCCATTTGAATTATGCTTAGATTAAATTTTTCATTGCTGGATTTTATCAAAATATTGAGTTACTTCTTCCCTGTATTATATATAAGCCTTTCAGAATAGATACAGGAGATATAAAATAATTTTTCCACTTTCTGTCCACTTTACAAGAATGCATTATGCTGTGTTTGTCTGAATCCCAGCAGAATATGGCACCTTATATGTCTGCAACATGACAAAATGGTTAAAAGTATGAAGGGTTGGGATACTTTTGTCTACAAACATGCAGGTACTGCAGAAATTGGCTTAGCAAATTAAAGATATCTCCTTTTATCAGTATTAATTCCCCTCGTGGGCACAGATAAGGCCAACAACTGTCAATGAGGTTGATTTGTCTTCCAAATGCTAGTCGCAAGCAAACAACTTTCCTCGCTGCACCCTTCTTTTATTTGTCTATTGCAAAGCCTCCCTCTCATAACTTGCAACCCAAGGTTGAGTCTCCAGTTTTGAATTAGAAAAGCCCAACGAGCTCCATTCTTCTCATGGCCCTGGTAAGAGCTTTGCCTTGATGGCCGCCTATTGTTTGACTGTGATGTTTGCCTGCTGTGGGTGATTCTCAGCTAGGACTGTGGCTCAGGGGTGTCAATAGACATTTCCCTGACTGCTATCAACCCCCCGGTCCATTTGACTGGGGAGGATAGAGTGTCGTAAGCACCTGAAAGCCTTTTGCATGAATCTAAATTTGCCATTAGCTTGATTTAATTTTGACTTGATTTGACCTGTTTATTTGTGGTCTAAATGAATATTTCCAGCTGTCTTTCATCTCCTGAACCAAATTATTTATATTTATTCACTCATGATCGCCTCTGAAAACTTTAAACCAAATGTTCACATATATCAGTTTGATTTCATACAAACTGTTTCAAGGCTCATATTTTCAGTGATATCCTTTTGATTTCCCATTTTGTATAAAACTCTGCCTTGAATAGAGGTTAAAAAATATCTCAACATATAAAATACACAGTAGATGGGCAAAGCACGTAGATGTGTATGTTCTACTGTCATTCGGATGCCAAAATACCAAAACTTGGCAGCAACATGCTTGCGGTTACAAAGCAAAACCTTATCTCATGCATGTAAACAATGCTTTACTCCAATAAACACACAGACCTGGTGAAGGAACAGAGCTGGGCCCATTTCCTGAGCAGAGTCATCCATTGGCCGCATATTTGCACTGTGGGGGGGCTGGGCTGTTGCTGTAAAGCAAGTGATTTGGGGGTGATAATGATCCTCATGCATATGGGGTTGATGCTTTCTACCATTCTTTTCCTTTTTTTCTAGTCCTTTGTGTGTCCTCCTTCACTAAGTTTACACACTGGTTAGTTGTTGCATGATTTTGGATAGATGAGGAAATGTTCACAAAAAGGAGTTTGGGACTAAAAGTTTGTTTTGATATTCTTAGTTCTACTAAGAGTGGGCTTTCCAAATACTTTCATGACTGCTATTTAATTTCAAAAACTTTTTTTCTGTTTATTTTTTTATTTTTACCACCTTTGTACAAGCCAAGAGTAATGTCTTCATTTTGAATCGTTTTGGGGTTCCCCTCCTCCCATTTTGTCCTTTTCTTTTGGTTTAGCTCTAGAAACTTCTTAAAAACTGTAACTGATGTTTTTAACAGTTAAGGTCTTGTTTTTTATTTATTTTCCTAACATCTGCAGTTGTAATGCGCAGCTGTTCCTGAAGGATGGCCATCTTTGATTGGCCTAAATGCACAAGCTCCTGTCTGTTTTGTTGGGTTTTATTATAAAGTTGTTGCTTTTATTTTTTTTTTTCCCCATAAGCTCCTAAAAATTAGTCCTGTGTTTCTCATTGGCTGTCCATAAGGAGCATTCATTCAATTCAGTCAGAATTCGCTCTTAAAAAAGAAGGTTTGTCTTTACAGGAAAATTTTGTATCACTTTTAAGCATTATTGCATTTAGATGAAAACTGTTTTTGGTTTTCTTTACAAATGTAAATGGCGAAGTGCTTAAAAGCCTAAAAAAAAAACTGGTTGCCTCAGCCAAGGCGTGACATTCTCCTTCACATACCTTGGAAAGTCTGGAAGGTGAGAAAAAAAAACAAAAGTAAAATCTGAACTAGCTCTACCTCCATCTTTGCTTTGTTCATCCAGTTCATGAAGCAAGTTGGGATGAGGGACAGAGGCCATGCTGATTCCAGCAGAGATATGATGTAGCAAAAAGTGTCTGCAAATAAGCATTTTAATGAATTAAGCACATAATTTAATGCCTAGCATCTGTTCTTTAGAGTAATATTTAAGATGTGTGTCATCCAGCCAAGCTGAAAGAATCGAGATTGTGCTGTGAGTGAATACTGTATGTGGGCCTGTTTGGAGAGTTTTACCTTGGATACTGTTCGCTTCCCTCTGTTAACAATAAAGTATGTGCAATACAGAGTAAAGGGGATCTTTGCTATTAAAAGGACACTATATTGCATTTCTCTCCTTGAGCTTCATAAAGTTATTGTCTGTAAATAAGAGTTAAACGGATCAAATATTTCATCTTTTACGATGCTGTAAACCTGTTTATACAGTTTCAAGGTTGTTGACATGTATACTGCAGAGGCGCAATGTTCAATAAAGTTCACAAAATACTTTCTCAAGTATCTAATCGTGAATTTGTTTTGAACGAAGCAGCAGTGTAAAGGTATCAACATCTCCTTAGACATCAATGCATTTAATTGGTATTTAGATTATAGGCCAACAAAAAACTACAATTGGTCATAGACTTAAACTGACAAACTAGACAGGGAGCATTGATCAGAGGAGCATCAGGTGCAAATGTCTTTTTACTGGAAAACAATATTTAAGTCATTCGCTGTATAAATCAAGATTTTACAGATATGGTACCGAAGGAAAGCTTTTGTAGCTATACAAAAAAAAAAAGAGATATTCTGTTTGCAGTTTGCTCTGAGCCATTAAAAGCAAGTCCGAAATAGAGAAAAACTGTGGGAAAAAAATATATACGTATCTGTGCCGAATGTCTACTGGGATGTTTTCTACTCCATGGTCTGAATGGACTGCTTCCTCTGCTTTGATCCATACTGTTGGGATTTCATCTGGGTGATACTAATAAGGCCTTCCAAAAATAAACTAAGATTTTAGGGTTTATATCCAAGGAAAAAAATGTGTATCCCATCATATTTCTAAAATAATTGATAATTGCATTAAAAATTTAATTGGATAGCTGACCATTTCCTAAAATGATCAGATTCATTGTGTTTTTTAGTAAGCAAATAAAAAATTATCCTTTTAATTTTTTTTGTACATCTGAGACCGAAATTCAACTTCTTAGTTAGCATAAAAACAGGAAAGTGGCAGGTATGCTTCCATTCAGCACAGAGATGGAAGCTCCTGTAAACACAGAGCAGGAGATCTACACTAAATATAGAAATAACAGCTTCAACGAGTGGCTTTATATTAAAGGATTTTGAAAAGTTAGCATAGCCCAGTCAAAAGTTTAACATACAGCCGCAAAAAGACTTAAAAATGTTCATACTCTCTAAATCTAATCTGAGTTTGATCCCTTTTGCCAAGAATAGCAAAGCAAATGTGTTACTAGATGAGCAGAACAGGTAAAGTAAAACATCAGAATTTACATTTATGAGATGTATCGATACATCCTTATTTTACAGACTGGAATTTGTAAAAGGAAAAAAAAATGGAAAGCTGTTTTACAGCATAAATATACTTTAACATGTGATGATTTATCCCATTAAATTTTAAAGTACATTGAGGTGTGTGGCTGTAAAAATGTAAAAAGGTTCAAGTTTCAATATCTACACACAGATGAAGATACAAATATTTCTTTTGAACACATTTCATCATTCCAGATAGATTTATTTGATCCATCTTAACTGTGATTCCTGTTTCTTTAAAGTGTTAAGAATAATTTTTCATTCTTAATGTTTCTTTTCTCATATTTGCTTCTCTTTACATCACCTTATTGGAGAAGCTACAGTTTATTCCCTATTTTTGTAAAAAAAAAATTTATTCATATAACATCAGTTTTTAAATCACACAAACCATTTTCCTTAAAAAGGAAGAAATCGTGAATTTTGCTGAAAAGTTTAAACCTTGTAGGATATCAGAGCTACAGAAGAGGATTAGGGCCACTAAACATATGTAAAAAGTTAACTGATTTTAATTTTTTATTTCAGTATAATATGAGAAAATAAATCAGAAGTCTGACTTTAATCTCAGAATTTTGACTTTTTTTCTCAGAGTTGTTACTTTTTTCTCAGAATTCTGACTTTAATCTCAGAATTTTGACTTTTTTTCTCAGAGTTGTTACTTTTTTCTCAGAATTCTGACTTTAATCTCAGAATTCTGACTTTTTTTTTTTCCATATTAAACTGAAAAAAACTTTTTTTTTTCAGTGGTCCAAATCCTCCTCCGTACAGAGCTGTAAAGATGCAGAAAGCAAAAAAGGAAAAAAAAAAAACTCTTTCTTCTAGGACCTGCAAACGTTATATTTTGAATGAAAAGGCTCTCCCGTCCATCACAACAACACGAAGCCAGGCCCGCTGTCGGTAGGAGCGCCGCGATTGGCCGACCGCTCTCCAGGAGCAGTTATCCAGCAACGCGATTGGCTCACAGCCGTCTGTGGGGGCGGGCCTTGTTCAGCTGCGACTGTCAAGATTGGCAAAGCGCTGACTGCTGCTGCTGAATGTGTTTGCAGGTAAAAGGAGCAAGCGACAAGAGAAAAAAAAAACTGAAAAACATTAATCCTGGCAGAAAGCGAGGAGTGCAATGGAAACACGCGACTCTTTATGCGATACAGTCTGAGAGAAAAAGGATTTAAATAAAAAAAAAAACTCGCTCCTGAAGGCTTTAGCGGAAAGTGTCGCTTTGTGAGTGGAAGCAACTTGGACAGCTGCGTGTTTTCAAGCGGAGCCATCAACAAAGAATGAAAGCGTTGAAACGAGGTGAGCGCCAATCTGACCCTCTTTACTTTATTTCTGTAAAAAAAAAAAAAAAAGTGAGCGTGTGCTCTATGTTTTGCTGCGGGCTCTCGTCTGCTATGCAGAGCTTTTTGTTGCGAGCGTGTTTGTGTTTGAAATGAGTGTCTGCTGAGGCAGGCGTGCTGCTGTCCATCTGGCGGAGCGACATGCGGGAGGCTGAGCGCCTCCTTTGTGCGCCTCCAGATGGCTCGGTTACCATTTTTCATTCTCTGTCCTGCTTTTAAACCTCTTTATTTTAACAACTCAAGCGAATATCCATGCTTTCAAAATAAAGTTTAAATGACTATCTCACCTTTTGAAACTTTATTTTAGGATATTTTCCCTCCTACCTTCCCATGTGTGAGTGATTGCAAAAACAAGAAGTTGGGTTTGTTTGACAGCCGCAGTGATTTACCACACAGCTGCTGCTGATGTGACCTTTTCGATCTCTTGATTCTTTATTTTCTTATTTTTTTATGACTGATCCAGTTCAGTTAAATTTCTGCTTTAGTTTGGAATAAACCCCATTTATCAGTGCAGCCCAGCAGATCACGTACACCACGTTTTTTCAGGGGGAGTGCTTGGACCACAGGAAGAGTTCTGTTCTATGCATTTATGTCATCAATACTAAATAAGTTGTTTTTTTCCATCTCTATATGTGATGATCAACATCTTTTGCACGTGCGTTTGGAGCAAAAAAAAACGTCTTAACATGGCCAATAGGTTCCTGGGCCCACTGGCTGCTGTGATGTTGATATGCACACAATCTCCTTTGTGAGGACAGGCGCTGCCCCCGGGGGTCAGGTTTCAACCCAGCTCCCAGAGAAAGACATTTACCGCATTCTGTGGCCCACCCCTTTGGGATCAGGCATGCTCCATTTTGTGGGGATTTTTTTTTCCTCCCCTGACCCACCGTGGGTTACAAGTGTGGGGGTGGTCAAACTTAAGGAAATAAAAATAGTTGCTTAAACTAGTCAAACATCACTTCTCTCCTCTGTAAATCAGGTTTAGGTGCTGATTATTTACATTGTGTGTGATGTGCTGCTAAATGATGCAAATAGAAACCAGAGATGATTTGAAGTTGGCCTATTTAAAGCTGATTGGGGGGGACAATGTGATAAAATCAGATCGGTGGTCATGGCGGATCGCCCTGACAGCTAAATGTTGACTTGTACGGAGATAAGACACTTTTTTATATCAGGGAGAGTGTTGGCCTAATGGTTAGAGCAGTGTGGTTGTGCTCTCAGTTTGAGAAGGTTGCAAGTACCCGGTTCGATCCCCATAGCCTCCACTCTGGGTTCCTGAGCAAGACATTTAACCCCACACTGCTCATGGGCGCTGCGCAGTGGCAACCCACTGATTCCACAAGAGATGTGTTAAATGCGGAGGTGAATTTCTACAGTGTGGTACAAGAAAGGGGTTTACATTAAATGTTTTACATCTATAAGCAATGTTTTTTGGGTTTTTTTTTTAGTCAAGGCTATAAGAGAATGTGAGAGTGAGACTTTGAGAAGATAACAGGAAGGCTGGAACATACTATAGCACAGCACTGTTAGGGTAATGGGGAAGACTTCTCTAAGTGGGTTAGTATATTTTAGCTGTATATTAAATGGTTTTAGAGTAATTAAAATGTCTTGAGTGTGTCAAAATCTTTTCACAGTTGCCTTGATTGGTTCCTTTTAGAACACCTTTTTTTTTTCTAATCTTCACGTTAAGTTATAAAAAGCATCTGTCTTCTCTTCAGCTCTGGAGGATGACCCCCACCCGGATCAGGACCATTCCTCGGCCATGTCGGACAGCGACGACGGCTCCCCGCTCGACCTGTCAGGAAGGGGTAACTTTGGGAAGCGCCGTCGCCGCGGAAACCTGCCGAAAGAGTCGGTGCAGATCCTGCGCAGCTGGCTGTACGAGCACCGCTTCAACGCATACCCATCGGAGCAGGAGAAGCTCAGCCTTTCCAACCAGACTAAGCTCTCCGTGCTGCAGGTGGGCCTCCCTTCTGTCTCAGAAGCTGTCAGAGGAGACCACACCTGTGGTCCTCCTGTTTCTGTGGATCTTTGTTTTTCGTTCCTGAATGAAACCGCATCTCCTCAGTTAATTGAAACGTCTTTTCTGATTTTTTTCTGATCTGTGATGCACACTTAATCTCAATATCTTATGTCACTAAAATGACAAACCAATGGTAAGGTAATTATGGGTTGGTGTCATTAAGAGTCTCCCACCCTTCTCGTTCTCACTTTGTTGCATCAGTAGGAGACGTTTCCTCTTTTCTTCTCAGCACAGAGGCAGATTACAGGCGGCAGCAGTTCCTTGTTATGTAGTCAGTTCACTGGAATGCGTTGGCTGCCTCCTCTGTGGCTCAGCATATTTCAGCTCAGACCTTCATTATTGCCAGCTGTCTGAGCACTCAGCTCTCTGTCCTTCCCTCATTTAACCACTAGAGGGAGTGTGTAACAGACTGGAGTGGATAAAGATAGGATTTTGTAGTTTTTGATCTAGTAGACAGATTTTTATGGGTTTTTTTTAAGTAATACATTTCTTTAGCACTTTCCAAATGTATTCATCCATCTTTTTACATTAAATCCAGAAATTCTTTATTAATTTGCAAATAAAGTAAACCCCATTTGAGCATCTGACAGGTCATTTCCCCCCATTGAGCAGTTTGGCACAGCTGCCATTATCTCCGACTTTCAAAGTACAATTATTCTGAAAAAGGAGGAGCTGCAAAACTTCAGTTAAAGAAAGAGCTTATGTGGTAATGTGTGCCGCTAATCTGACTTTTAGGAAAACACAGCACATTTGCATATTATCTTACTATACTGCTATTAATATTGTATTGAATTAAACTACTCTTATTTTAGTGTACATGTAGACCTGACAAACCTGTGAAGTATTTCATGCAAAGAACACTGAAACTAGAAATAATCTTTGAAAATCATAAGTGGCAGCATCCTTCTGCAAGAAACGGGAGTGAAGATGTAAAGAATGAGGCATAATGCTGTGAAGTTTTTAGTTCTCCATTGGGAGATGGAAAATATTCATGTTGGAATGGCCTAGTCAAAGAAAGACGCAGATGTTTTTTCAAAGAAAAATAGGAAAAGCTTTCAGTCAATAGATCGTAGAGCTGGTGGATGATACCCGAGGTTTTGATTCAAGGGAAAATAATCCAGTTTAAATAACAGTTTTACAGGAATAAAACAGATTATGTCAATAATGACTGTCATGCTTTATTTTTTTTTTAGATCTGCAACTGGTTCATCAACGCTCGTCGCCGCCTCCTTCCTGACCTTCTCCGAAAGGATGGAAAAGACCCCACCAAGTTCACAATCTCGCGTAAGGTGGTCAGTAAATCTGAGGGCCAGCAGTCGACCGCAGGCGAAGCAAGCTCTCCTGAAATCGTTGCTTCAGCTCGCTCCTCTCAACAGCGTCCATCCGTGATCCGCTCTGCGCCCACTCTGGACCTCAGTCTGCTGGGGAACACGGCCACGGCCATCCTCACCGGAGCGGGCTACCCAGGAAAGGAGGGGTCTGTGCAGGCGCTCATGAAGCTGGACACACAGAGCCTGTTGAGGGAAGCGGATGAAAGGGGCATCCATTCGACCGTTCCGGCTAACATGGCTGCCAGCCACTCCAGTGGTCTCCTCAACACGCCTCCACCCACCCCTCCTGAGCTCTACCCGAGTCATGACTTCAGTGACCTGCGGCTGCTGGTTGATGCTGCGCTGCAGAGAGCTGCAGAGCAGGACCTGCTCAAGGAGACCCACAGCAAACCAGCAGAGCCTCTGGAAGCCAAACTGGTGGATGCAAATGAAATGGGCCGCACCCCCCCTCCAGAGGAAAAGGTCATGGATCCTTCCAGAGCGCAGTGTCTGATGGAGAAAGCTATGTCCGTCCCAGAGTCAATCAAATCTCCTTGTACTGAGTCGTCAACCGCCGCTGTTCCAGTTCTTGCTCCAGTCTTGCTCCCCGCCTCCAGTATGACGCCTCTACCAGCAAAAAAAGGAATATGGAACCCCTTAGATAAAGACGCTGTCAGAACATCCAGCCCAAACCAGCCTCCTCTCATCCCAGCCCGTCTCCCAGCTATAGTACCAGTTTCTGCTGTTGTCCTGGGGCGACCAGAGCTCCAGAAACCTGCTGCCCTCCCAGTCATGAACCCAAAGCTGCCTCCAGCTTCCACATCCGTCTCCCCTCCAGCCTCATGTCCAGTGACTGCATCAAGTCCAGCGGTAGGCCCGGTCTCCATGGAAATACCTTCCTCCCAGTCAGCAACCTCCTCTGATTCCCCGCCGTTCCACAAACCCCCCTCCATCCCCGTCACGGCCCCCACCGTGCTGCACGCCTCCTCCTCGGTCTCCTCCGCAGCACCGGCCGTCCCGCCTCTCCTGAGCCTCGCCTCCCACCTCACCCCTCACTCCGCCGCTGGCAGCAGTTCAGCCATAGTGCCCAAGGTTTGGAGCGTGGTTCACGCCAACAGCAGGCCGGCTGGTTCCCTCCAGGTGGTAAAGACCCCCATCAGCACGGTGTGGGGGCCGCAGCGCAACCTGCACACACTGAGCGAAGCTGTGAACTAGAAGCTGCTGCCGTTCTTTTAAGATCTACAAACCCAGGAGGGGGGGGTATGTTTTATGGATCGGAACTTTGAAGATTAGAGGAGAATGATCCTAAAACGTTGACAAGGTAGAAGAACTGTACGATAGTTTACCAGCATTTCCAGTGGCAGAGCTGGACTTCAGTGAATGTAGAAAAAAAAAACCTTCCCCTGATGTAAACTCTGCTGCCCTACAGCCATTCCTCATCAGATAGAAAGCACATTTTCTCAGACGTCTAGTCATGCTTTAAGGATGACTTCTTAAAAGGTCGGTGTGTTTATTCTGACATGTTCTTTTCTTTTTCTTTTTTTTTTGTTCTCTCCTTGCATCTGGAAAACGTAGTGGAGGGAAAACCAAAAACAAATAATCTAGATGAATCTGTTCTCTTAACTCCTGGCTGTTTCATGGACCACCTCAGCTGCTCTGAGTGTCCCTTCAGCCACATCAATCGCACCGTTAAGAAGTTCCTTCTTTCTATTTCCTGAATAAGAAAAGCACAGGTTTATATTCTGTTAGAACACATTTGTGTCGTCCACAGTTGTAGAGGCCTTAAAGAGTTTCTGTTTCTTAGACCTGAAGGTCATAGAGCAGACGGTTTATTCATAAAGCAGATGTAGCACGTTCTTCGTCCCCCTTATTTGTGTAGTTTTTCCTCATCCGATTGTATCAAATGGTTCCTGATAGTCCGAGACGCTGTAGTTTCTGTGAAACTTTCCTGGACATGTTGGTAGCTGTGTGGGAGTTTGGCTGAATGCTGGGCTCATTTTTTTTTTTTTCTCTCCGTTGATGCTGTAGCACAATTACCAGTTAATGTTTACCAGGTCACAAAGCTGTGTTTACTTCAGTTCTGTTGTATTGGCCTGAGTTGTTGTTGTGGACAGAAGAAAAAAAACTGTTTGGGTCTTACTGATGCAGAGCAATGAACACTGCAACCATTCCAAGAAAACCTCCTCATCTTTTGGTCCAAACATTTTAGCCTTTTTCTTTGTATTTTTTTGGACATTCTTTTCACTCTGTGCCACATCGTGGAGGTGAATGTTTTTGTTGCAGAAGCAGAGCTGACCGGTGTTCATTTTTTACCTCAATTTCACACAACTGGTGTTTATTTAATATTTCCGACTACAGAAAATACACTGTGATGCCTTCAAGGTCAGGATACTGGGAAAGGCTGGCTACGGTTTTTAGAGGTGAGGTTTTAGATGTAAGCTGACTCTTCAGAGGAAAACAAAAATGTGCTGATGTAAATATGTGAAAGTTCAAGGTTTTTATTTTATTTTTTTTTTTGGAGGGGGCATATTTACTAGCCTGAGCTCATACTCGAAATGTAGTTTGTGTCCAACCAAATGCATTCTGGACGTTACTTTCTTCACTTTTTGTTACAAGTTATGACTCCAGGCAGTGTGACTGGCTGCTGTGCCTTAAGCCTTCGAATGAGGGAGGATGTCACCCTTTTTTTTTCTCCTTTTAAAAATGTATTAAAAACTCAATAGTCTGTGCAATATATGCCTTAAACTTTAAATGTCTTTTTTTGTATGAAAGTTTCAAAGAAATAAAGATTCACTTTTTCATAAAGATATGGTTTGATTTTTGCACATGGAAGTGATTCAATGTGCACCTGTCTTTGGGCCTTTTGCACCACAAACATTTTACATTTTAGTGGATTTGTGACCACTAGAGGGTACTGTGACTTTTATACCTTTTAATATCCTTAAAATTATGGTGTGACAAACCACTGAAACCATTATAGCTTAAGCCTTGGTCTATCAAGGGAGGCTATTGCCTTTTATGACCTACCCCTACATTTGAAATGATGTAAGGCTAATGTATAGCCTCTTTCATTGTGGTATCATTGTATAATTCTAAAAGCTCTCTAGTAAACTGGTACTGCCTTTGAGATGCTCAGTGAGAATGACAGTAGATGCTTTCATGCTCTATATCGTTCTTAACGGGAGTACTTTTTTTTTTTTTTCCCATTTCTGAAAAGCAGCTAAGAGACACTTTCACATTTAATCTCTATGGAAAAATGCTTATTGATGTGAAAAAAAGTTTGAATATAAATGAGCTTGATTTTTGTCTGCGATAATTTCAAAGAATTCCTTGCCTTGGGATTTATTGGCATGCCAGATTGACATTATTTTTAACATGTTTGATTAAATTATACCATAGAATGTTAGTGTATTTTGCCCACAGATTATTATAATGCTTTTGGATGCATTTCTACTTTACCATGTACTCGGATTAATAAGATTTGTTTTTATTAGTTATGCCAAAAAAAGTGTCCTCTATACTTTAGCCAGCTAATAAGGAAATGGTCATCTTTCTATTGTAATAGAAATTAGTTTGTCTGAATTTACTCTAAAGGTTTTTTTCCTACTACATTTTTAATCAAATCTTTCTTCCATGCATAGATTAGTTAAAAACACGCCAAATCTCCTTTAACCCTGCAAAATGCTACTTCAGAAGATATTTTAGGAAAATTTACCATCTTTTAATCCAATACTAAATTTGACTCTTATCTTGTAGACCCCAAGTTGTTTTAAACATTTGTACCCATGTTCTACCCTCTGAATAATTTTAGTACTACAGGTGATAAGTGGTATTTTGATACTTAGTTTTTAACCAAAATCCAAGATAAAGCAGTTTTATCATTAGTGATCGAAATGTTTTAAAAACAACTCATTTGGAGCCATTTCAATACAGTTCTTGATCTATATTGATAGCTATGCTGAATTCTGTTTAAGCATAATTACATCAAAGGAGATTCAACTTAATCACAATATTTACTGTAGGTGTTTAGGTTGGTGGATTTCTAACTTCTAATTTTAACTTTTTAAAGGCAATATGCTTATTTCACAAAGTCTTTAAATATACGAATTTTTCTGAACTTTGAGATTTGTCTTTTGTAAACTCTTGCAACAGAATTTCAGGCCAAAAAGACTTTGGCTAAAATGAAGAGCCAGCTAATTATATGAGCAATAGGTATACTAACAAATGCATGTTTTAGTATTTTCTCCTACTGCATTATTGCACTAAATAGAAAAAAACTAACAAATACATATTTTTGTTATTCCAATTGGAAAGATTTAACAAAACTACTTTTATCTGGTGGATAAAAATTTTTTTCCAGAGATGTTTGCAGCTTTTAACGGGTTTTATTAGCTGAAAGGCCCCTTTGGATTGTAAAGGTTACAAAGCCCTGTGCAAAGGATCCAAATGTTTCAAATTGTACAATTTTCTAAATATCTAACAAAGTTTAAAACACAAAAAATGAAGAAAACACATTAATCTGAAGCAAAGTCTGCTTTCAACGGGAGCTTTATTAGCCTGAGCAGATTCCTGACTGTATTCCCTCTACAAGCAGACACCTGATCTCTCAGTCCCTACAAACAGCTGATGGGAGTAAAGCATTAACCGCTTCTACCATTTTACAAGGATGAATTCCTCACCTCTTGATTGTCAGAAAGAAATAAAGAACAAGTTGATTCCATTTTGCAACCATGCACATACAGAGGAAGGGACCACGAGGTGTTGTAGCAAACAGGCAGGCAGGGGGAATAATTGCATGCATGCACAGAGGTGCTGGATGCATCCTGACAGTCGTAACAAGTTCATAACAAATATAGTGCAGTTAATGAAGGACGAGCAAGAATTTCTGATCCAATCCTAAATCAACACGTTTACTATCAGATATGCAGGAAAATACTTTACTGTGACGTTTTAAGGATATTTATGAAGTGATTGTCATATTTATTTATAATACACAGAATAAAGGGAGGGATTGGTGGACAAATCTGCAGTGCAGCATGTGAGCCGAGTCTGATGCAGCAGTTTCTCCCTCTATTCATCGTCCTTATCCTTTGCGCCGTGTTTGAGGATGCGAGTGAACTCTGCGTAGTTGAAGTTGCCCTTCTTGTCGATCGGCGCCTCGCGGAATAGCTCGTCCACCTCTTCATCTGTGAAGCGATCGCCCATTGTGGTCAGCAACTCTCTCAAGTGGTCCTCGTGGATAAACCCTAATATTAAGAGACGGCGTCACGCATCATGACACTTAAAAACGCCATCAGTGAAACATCTGTGGATCTTTGTTTTAATGAAGACTCACCAGATCCCTCCTCGTCAAAGCAGGCGAAGGCGTTACGAATGACGTCCTCTGGGTCTGTCCCATTGAGCCGCTCTCCGAACATGGTGAGGAACATGGTGAAGTTAATGGGCCCCGGGGCCTCGTTCATCATTCCCTCCAGGTATTCATCAGATGGGTTCTTACCTGTTGGACAGAAACTAATCAATTCATCTCCTTAAAGACGCTGAAAGGGCAATGTTTGTGTAGGTGTATGTAAAAATCATTGATATATTGATGCAAACATTCATTTCTAGCTCTGGTTTTATGTTTGGGCATCTCTCAAAATATTAACCTCCATAATTAAGTCTTTTGCAACCTCCAACAGGTTTTCCTCCACAGTGGGCTCTATGCACAACTCCACTAGTTCCTGAACTTAAGGCAGCTCTTTTGTTTCCTGCTTTTTTCTACTGGCTGGACTGATTAAACCAGGTGTGTCTGACCTCAATAACCATGGCAAGACACACCTGGATTAATCAGTTCATCTAGTAATGAAAGAGTAAACAAAAGAGCTGCCTTAAGTTTTGAATAGAGCCCATTACCCTGTGCTCGGGAAAACACCATGCCGCCCCTCCATGTTTCACCACTTCACATTCTCTGTTCACCAAACACTACATAGACAGCTATGTCTTGGTAGCATCAAAATTGGAACATTATCTTCCCACTTTTAGATGATTCAGCTTTATAAAAAAAAAAAAAAAAAAAAAATCTAAGCCCTCTGAGACTATTACATTAAGCCCAGGTTCTTCACAGCATTGAAGATGAGTAATTCGATGAGTTGGAAAGGCAAGTCATTGCAACTGATTTTATTTGGGGGCGTCAGGAAAAGTTGTTGGGGGGTAAAAAAAAATAAATACAAGCACATCTTACAGTTAAACCCATAGCCGATTATGAAAAGCACGCATCCTTATGATTCCAAGTCCAAATAAAGCAGCACTTTGCGTTGGTTTATATGATAAAATACCAGTAAAACACTGGAGCTTTTGGCTGTTTTCTAAAGACAGGAAGTATTAGATTATATCTGTAAGATATTTCTGTTTATCTTTCACATTTTTTTTTTGGTCATCAAAAAAACAAAAAGCAGTTTTAGCTATTTTCTTTTGTCCGCTTAGTCTATTTTTTTTTACCCAAAGAGGCCAACATGTCATGCAGATCCTCCTTGTCGATGAAACCATCCCTGTTCTGGTCGATCATGTTGAACGCCTCTTTGAACTCCTGGATCTGGGACTGGTCAAACATGGCAAAGACATTGGAGGTGGCCCTCTGTGGCCGCTTCTTGGTGGTCTTTCCCTTTGCACGTTTGCTAGACATGACGGCGGCTGGATGGGGACCTGTTTATAGATGCAGAAAGGAGACAAGTTAGATCAACCTTCACTTAAAAACACCTCGATGTGAAAGACATCAGCTTCAATGCACACATGGTTTATGAAATACATTTTATGCAGTGAAAAAAAGCATCTGCTCTTTAGATGTATATCATGGAATCTGCTTGCAAGTGAATCTTTTTTGTCTCACTTTCTATACATAGAATGACACTTCCCATGAAGTGGCAGGCATTTTGATGGGTGTGAAAATGACATGTTTCCGCAGCACACACCTCAGAAAACCGCAGATTGCTCCAGAATTAGACCTGTCAGTCATGTTCAGGTCTTGGAGGATTTGCAATTCGTTTGTGTGTGTCTGTAACCTCTCCCTGGGTGAATGGCTGATGAAGATGGAGGGAAAGGCCGGTTTGTGCAGGAAAGAGCAGGTAAATGAGGCAGATTACTTAAAGAATGACATCATGTCTGGATTCGCACAGAGATGATGTAATGCTGCATGGTATGCACACGATTGTCTTTACTGCAACAAAATACATTTTCAGGGATTAAACCAGTCAGCTCAAACTTTTGTAAGATTTTTTTTTATAATATATCTAAAGATCTAAAGTGAGACGTCTAAAAGAATCTCAGAGTTATTAAAAAGGCATTATCCTTTCATCTAAATCAATGGTCTGCAACCTGATGAAACGCTTCAGTTTTTCCTCAGACACTCTTCATGAATTAATTATGAGACTAAGCCAAGTATTTTATTTATTTATTTATTTTTAGAAAAGCTTTCAAAATCTCTTCATTTGAATACCTGAAAAGAAAATTGCACATGCAATTTTTTGTTTTCCCAAAATTAGAAGTATAAGAAAAGACATAAGTTGCTCTGTGGATTCCATTTAAATGTTGCCTGGATAAATGTACGCTTCATCATATTATGGTTTTACATTTAACTCGTCATGTATTACAGTGTTCAATTTATCTACAAACTAAACATTAGCTACAGGGATGAACAGTGCTAACCTGTTTTTGCATCACTGCTTTTTTTTTGTCCAAGAATTGACAATAAAAATGTCAGCCCTTTAGTTTTTTCCTTGTTTTTTTATGTCAAAATAACTTATAGTTATCCTTTCATCTATGAAATGTTATTAGTCTTTTTTTTTTCTTATGGTTTGGCTTAATTTGCAGCTTTAAAAAATTGTTAAAACCTTCCCTTTTTTGGCAATTACAGTTACATCCAAACTGCATCAAAATTCAAACATGTTTAATAAAATGATCTTAAATGAATCTAGAACTTGTCTAATTTTTGTCTTAATTAGAGACTTTATCATCATAACACAAGGGTACACTGGGCAGTAAGGAAACATAACCCTAGCCCTTAAAGATTATGTGTTAGATGTGGGGAAAATTGGCAAATCTTAGGCCTGATCTACAAGAAAAACAAACAGCAACTTTTCAGAAAAAGTTTAGGAAATAATTTGAATCCACTTGAATGCACACATACCGAGAATGTTTCAGTGACTGCCACAAATCACACCAAACCATTGACAGCACCACCAGAAATAGCTGTGCAGACAGTTCACGCAAGGTAAACCAGCAACATGGCGACTCAGAGGCCAAGAAACAGTGCACCTACACAGATGCACAAATCCGGCATTTATTTTTTTTCCTTTCACTTTTGGACCAGTACTTTTAAAATGTATTTTTTATGGTCTTTCGAAATGCCTGGATCTTAGTGTATGCACTGCCCTTAAGGCAGAGAATTTGTGGATTAATTCTTGTCTTCTTGTGGACGAGGCCTAAAGGTTAGAGTGAGTTTCACTCACCACAGCCAGATGGTGATGGTTAGAAAGCAGCTCTTGTGAAACATTTCAGGTTTACAGTGGTCTCCTTTCAAATGTTTCCCAAAAGAAAAAAAGAATTGGTGACGAGGTCATGAGAGGTCTGGATCTGATCCAACAGATGAGCTACTGAACCACATAATGATGAATTAATCCTTATTCTATTACTGCCTCCCATTCTGTTCTCATAGTAAAGGTCATCATTTATTAATTTATTATTGTTCCAGTACTAGAATTACTCACTTTTTGGACATTAAGCGTTTTTATTACACAAAGGTTTGGATGAATGGTGCCAGTCAGGAAGAAGTGGATTCAATCTATATTTAAAGGTTTTTAAATTCTTACGGATATGAAACACAGTTGAAGTTCAAATTAAAAATATTTGTTAAAAAAAAAAAAAATCTAGTCTTAATAGAAACCAAACAGCATTTTCCACCGAATACATTCTCTCAAAAAACCAAGTTCTACCCCCTTTGCAATGGTTTAATCGAATTATGATTTTTACATCTTTCCACCTTATCCTGTGTGTTTGAGACACTGTTAAAGTCTTCAACCAGGCAGAGCCAAGCTGAACCTCTGAGCAGGTTAGCCAAGACCACAAAAATTTATAAAATTGATTTTTTCCCCTGCCTTTTATTACACTAAGCGGTTTTTTAACCATTGTTTTATATATATATATATATATATATATAAAGATGAATGCACAAGTGTCTCATGGGAACTTTCAAATGTAAATGTGGTGTATGATTGCAGTTTATGATCTTAATGGACAATTTGACTCAGTGATCTGAAGTTTACATAAAAACTGTAGGTTTGCATTCCTTCTTTATCAATGAAATGAAAGAATAACCTCAGTGTGCAGGTATAGATAGCAGACATATAATGGTCAGTCAGCAATAAATGCTGGCAAATTCAGCTACTTTTTTTTAGTCCAACAGTTTTAAACAGATTAGAACCAAATATTTGTTTCAGCCTCTTTCATCATCACGCCCAGGGTAATGTTTTTAATCTATTAACGTCCATTTAGTGAAAGTTGAGCACTGCTGGAGGACTCACGGTTTAGCAGCTGTTTATAACGAGCTTAAGCTGGTTGAGCAATGTGTGCTATTCAAAGAGACGATTTACATACCACCTTCTTAGAACACAAGTGAAAAGTTTTATTAGTTCACTAATGTTTTATGGATTAATAAAAAGCCTGTTTGTTTTTACTTAAAACATGAAAGCCAAACCAGGTGAACTCATTAAAGAAAGCACAATACGGATGGTTAGTCATGGACACAGCGGATGTTTTTCCTGATTTTTGTCTGTATTAAAAAATCTTATAAATGTAACATCATCCTCTTATTTACTATTATTAAAAACCTAACTTAGTCGAGAAATTATGTCAATTTGAGTGAAAGATATTCTAAACTTAGTAGAATATTATAAGTTAATGATTTGTTGAACCATAACTAGTTTAGGTTTATTCTAATTGGATATTAATTAAAATCTCCTCTAATTAAACCTAAATGGTTTTTACACACTTTTACTGGTAACTAACCGTTTGTTTCATCAGAGTAGGTATCACAGATTTTATCTACTACTTGGCCGCCCAGCTCTCTTTGTGTGCCAGCTTATTAAAAGAAACACAGAGGGTGTGCACTTTTGGCCCCGGGCCCTTCCACTCCCGACCTGACAATCACACAGGAAAATGGAAACAAAGTGAGGAACGAGAAGATTTAAGAAGAGAGGAATTCCTCAGCCTATTTAATGATTTCCTCGTCATTCTTGTAGATCTGTTCACAACAATCCGTTTTCTAAAGGGGATACTAACAGAACACGACACAGTTGAGACATTCCTCCTTATTTTATTTCTTATTTTAAAGAAAAATTGTCAGCTTGACTTCAGATGGGGGCCCTAAACCGTATCAAACAAATAAAGACTCTAAAGAGGTGAGGTATTTTCATTTGTACGATTCATGTACAGATAACCACCTTTTAAGACCCTGTAAATCCGACCCTCAACCCCCAGCACAACTAGAATGTTCTAGCCTCCTGCATAAATTTTAGCTTGGTTCTGCTCCAAGATCCAGGCTAAGCATAAAATGGTAATTTCTTTTGTCTGTATAAAGTCATTTGTAGGAACTTCTTTGTTTATAAATGATTACTTCTGATATTCTTAGCCAAGAAACACTGAGGGTGATATGTTCCATGGATTGATTTTAACCCATGTGCCTAAAATAAATAAACAAAAACAAAAAAACAGAATATGTTGAGTTTCAAAAATGACTTAGTTCAGGGGCCCACTGCCTCCTAAACCAACTATACATGAAAAGCTCTTTAGTTCAGGTAAACAGGGTTTCCAAAAAAAAAAGGTTCAGTGGAAAAAAAAACAAAATGCTCTTTGGGTGTCTGTTGTGAAATTGCTTCAGTGATTGATTTTAGTTATAATCATTACAATAAAGGCAAAAGTCTAGTTTCTTCAGTTTGAGCCAAAAACAAAACAAAAAAATATATACCTGAGAACAATCTAACCTTTCTTATGATGATTTAAACTTAAGACCCTTAAAAAAAAAGACAAATAATAATTAACTTTTTTGATCTCACATTGGAGATATTTAGCTCTACATTTAACCCATCCCCTCAGGGAGCAGTGGGCTGCCATAGTGGGGCACCCTGGGAGCAGTTAAAGGTCTTACTCAGGGACCCAGAGTGGCAGTCTGTGGGAGTGGGACTTGAACTGAGAACCTCAGGATTCCAAGCTCTATGCATTAACTACAAGGCCCCCACCCCCTTCATATAATAAAATAATAATAAATAAATACATATATGGCTTTCTGACTTTGCACGCAGTGTTCTACATATACCTGTTCTAAAATGAAGATGTCATTTGTTTGAAATACTTTAGTTTTAACTAAGCAGCTGACTGAAGAAGCAATAGATGAACAGCAACACACCACATCAGGATGAAACTAAAATATGTAATTCATTTGCAGCTATAGAAAACCTGGATTTTTCAGACTTAATTGAGCAAAGATTAAAGGAACACATTCCAACACCAGCGATGAAAGCATGTCTGAATCATCTCATCTTGCTCTGTATTGACAGGATTGTTTGTTCTTTGTCCATCACTCATTCTCTCCTTCCATTAGACAGGGGCTAAAACAAAGCTTCTCTGTCCTTTAATCCAATGGGAACACTCTGGCTGTCATCTCTCTCTCTCTCTCTTTCAGCAGTTTTGAGTCAGCCAGAGCTGAAGTGTTGAGACCCAAGGGCCAATGGTCAGTTATACCAAGTACAAACACAGTTAATAATGAAGGACTGACATCCAATGTGTGCATGTGTGCATAAATGAATGGCTGCTTTTTTTTTAGCTCCTCAAAGTTAAACTGCATCAAGGTGAACATCCCAGAAGTCTATGATTGTTCAAAACCTCCAGAAAGTATTCACAACAGAACATCACTATAACTTTATCCTCTAATTAGAGTCCTAGGATATTATAATAACCTAAATAAAATATATCATTGATATTAAATGTCCACAGTCAGCTTATGCTCACCTTGGCTTCAAGATGGAAAAAAGAGAGTCTTTTAAAAAACCCTTTTTGTCCAGATCCTTCACCGCAGAGGGAAAGGAAGCAAGCAGTCCTGCTGAAAAGTTTGCTCAAACAATCAAACTCTCCTGCTAAGCCCCGCCCCTTTTCCCGCTCCGGCCAATGAAGAGAGCCGCTGGTCCCCTTCAGAGACATCCCAGGCCAGGACCATTTGTCCATACAAGGCAAAGGAATGCAGACGCTGCAACAGCAGTCACTCTTTGGGATGTTTGGGGAAAAGTCAGAGATGAAATGACAGGAACTACGATAAGGCTGCCTTATTTAGAGAAAGGAGCCTAGACAGGCTGGGGAGAGAGGAGAGAAGGAGCTGTGAGGAAATGCAGAGTTTCTGTTGGAGCAGCATTGTTTCCTTAAATAGGCAGTAAGGTCTGGGCATTAGTGGGCCATCATTTAAATAAAACATTTGAAACACAGAAAATCTTACTTACTTTCACTCTTAGCAATTATTTAATTTAATTTAAATAAAGAACCAAATCTAACAAAATCCTCTCTTTTCACACTTTGTGAAATATGAGATTTTTCTTGCTATTTGAGTGTAGTTTAAGTTTAAGTGTAGTTTTAAGTTTTATCAGGTGTCTGTCTTAGATATTGAGGATTATTGATGCTTTAAAATTTAGCAAATATTACCTTGCCTTTTATTTAAATCTCACCTTAACCACACAATGATTTTAAAATGTTTCACCTCAGTTTGACCATCTCTGTGTTTAAGAGTGATGTACACTATGAGCATACCTTGTGCAATAGCGCCATCTACTGGGATAAATCCGCCATCAAATCAAATGTTTTTGAATTTCTATGTGACCATTTGGGGAAAAATATGTTTAATGTGGTTTTGTCGGATTTTTGCAAAGAAATTTTGTGTGGATCATTATTAATATTAATCCATCAGCACAATTCTCAGCACTAAATATTTTCTCAATTTTAATTATGAAATAAACATGAATTTATAACTGATTTCAGGGCTCGATGTTAACCATTGCCCGATCGCCCGGGGCAAGTACTTTTTATTGTCGGGAGAGTACAAATTTCATTGCATTATTTATCACTCAAAATTACTTTAAAATCACCGACATTAGCTGAAAACGACCCAGCCGGCGCCATTTTTGTTGTTTTGTACACATTCTCGTGTGATTTGAAAAAGACGCGTGATTTGAAAAAGCCGCGAGATTTTCCGCAAGATGGCGTGATTTTTGTCAACCTAGCGGTAATTTTGATGTAGTTACCAAACGACAAACAAGCTAGAAAGCGCTATCATATGGCAGTCTTCAGTAGTGGCCATACATTAAAAATGTTCATTATTTTTTTTCTCTCAGACATTGGAGAGGTGCATTTAAATGTTATAGAGCTAAACATGTTAAATTGTTGACCTGTTATGTTACTATTATTGTCTTGTTGCTGCATTTATTTTGTCAGGGAAAACTAATCCTGAGTCAGTTAAAAGTCAAGGAATTCTGAAATTAGGTAAGACTGTGGAAACCCTGTATAAAATAACTGTATAATGATTCTCTAGAAAAGTCACATTATATTAATAGTATTATCTTGTATAAACATACTGTGACTCTAAAATAAGTTATTCATTTGTGACATTGACTTCTATCTTGTGATTTATCTTAAGTTTTTAACCTGTCAAGTTTTTTTTTTTAGATTTTTAACATTACAATTTGTATTTTTCCCAAGCACACAACAGTTTAAAGCAAAGTTTAGTTTGAAAAGAATGTGCAGGAAGGATTGAAAGGCATGTTAACACGGAAATGTAGGCTTGAGTTCATTATCTGAGGCATGCATATTCACACCAGGAACCTGTAAAATAAAAAAATGCTGAATTACAAAAAACGTTTAAAAAACAAAACATGTTTCATTGATATATATACAAAAATGAATATTAGGAACTATATTTATCAAACATTATACTGTGCAAGTAAAAATAGTTTCTGGGCAAATGAAACGTGAAAGTCACTTGCCCAAAGGGCAAGTGGTAAAAATCCTTAACGTCAACCCCTGGATTTATTTTCCAACTCCCTGAAGGCATTGCGTCATGTAGTGGTAATTTTTTCTTCAATTAATGCTGTTTAAAGGGCTTTGTAAGGGTACTTTACATTTGACAAAAGAGTTTATCAGGATATAAGCTGCCAAATTATTGAGACATATCTGTCATTGGATCCTGCAGATATGCCAGATTTGATCTATGGGATTATTTTTATTTCCTTGCATATGCTGGTGAAGATTTTGAGTCATCCAGGTCATAGTCTTTCCAAAAAAGTTTTATAAAACAATCCACTTGACTTTGTTTTCAAGTTTGAAGAATCCACTGGACTTTGGATTGTTTTGGTTTTTTTTTTTTTTTTTTTTACTTTTTTGGAAAGATTTCCTGGAATCTTAAAAATAAAACTCTCTGTTCCTAGTTTCTTTTTTCTCTCTCTCTATTTTGTATCACTATTATATTTTTCAGATAATCAAACCAATCTTAGGACACTAGAATTTCAAACCTACCCCAAACATCACAGATCTTTGTTTACTATTTACATTCAAAGGCGGGACATTTGTTTAATCCGACTTTCTGATTGGCTGACCGCAGGGGCTGCCATGCCAATGCGCATGCGCAGTACTGTTGGAAGATGGACGCTTTTTCAGTGCGAAGCAGCCCAGAAAGGTGAGCTGTTGTCTGTACTACCGTGTTTTTAGGACGATGATATTTTGTGTGGAAATCAATGCTGACGGAAAATACGAGCATCGTTACTGAAAAGTGAACCGCGATAGTTTTGTCAGTGTGTGAAGTTTTATCGTTATTGTCCCGGAACGCTTTTCAGGTAAATGAAGTTGCTCCATGACAGGCAGACTGCTGTTTGAATGAAGTAAACTTTATAAAGTTAGATATAATAGCGAAGCACTTCGTTGGAGGTAATGTATTGTTTTTGTATCACTCTGTGCTTTAAATGAGATGTAGTCTGGAGTGTTTTTTGGCTATTAAAGAGAGCAGTGCCTTAGTAAGACACGTCAAAACTTTCCGGAAGTTGTCTTGTTTTATTTTTTTTATAAAGCACATCTTTGTAAAAGTTCTCTTAAAGTATCATCTTCAACGGTTCTGTTTTTGTTTTGCTCAGATTTTTTTTCAGCTTTCTTTAAAAATGTTTATTTAATATGTAAATGTATTATTGTTATTATGATTATTATTTTCTAATTATTACTTTATTCAAATTATAATGATCTTGTAGTAGGATGCTGTTTAATCTCTAACTAATAATAGTTCAGGTTTCATTTCCCATAACACGATCAAAACAAAATGCCAGATACAGAGCAATTATATTGTAACACTGTACAGTACAGTACTTATTTATTTTCTTTACTCTGTTATTTTTTATAAACTTTCTAAGGCCCACATTGTGTGAGCACTTCTGCTATAACCTTTTGCTGCTGTACCACAATTTCCCCATTGTGGGACAACAAAGAGATTTCTATTCTATTCTATTCTAGATAAACTACATGCACCATGACTAACCTTTCTTTTGATACAAAACTTTTATTTAGCCCATTTCTTATTATGTTAACCTACAGGTAAAAAAAAAATAGTAATAATTATTAGTCTATTTAACCTTTCGTAGGGTTTATTAATGTTTTGTTTTATTGTTTTTATTAAGACATGGGCTGAAGTTCTTTGCCCAAGGTATAACATAAACATAAGTATAAGGTAAACATAGTATTGTATTAGCTCCCACAGGACACACAAGTTTAAAGGTAAAGTTGACCCGCAATGCAATAGTTCACAGTTCACTATTAAATAAAAAGCGTACTGCATGCTGTCATTTATTAGGTGTTTGAGCACAATTGAATAAGGAAGAAAATATGTATTTTTTCTCTGTGGCACCTTAAAATGTTAGCCAGAATTAGTGATTTTGAGATGAAGCCTCATGAGGCGTTGAATCGTTTGGCCAAATTGCTTCAACGATCCCCACAGTTCATGAAGCTTCATGCGAACAGGTCTCCACCTACTGGTGGAGGGCAGAACTACAGTTAGTAATCAGATTTCTTGCTAATTTTTTTTTCCCCCATTTTAGTTCCTTTGAAATTTCTAATGACAGGTAATATAATACAGTTTTTTGTACATTTTTTTTCTTTTTGTGTAAAATGTCTTAGAAGAGAACAATCATTTAAGGTACACGGTTTTTCTGCCATTTTAGTGAAATAAACTCCAGCAGACAGTGAAACGGTTTGTGCAAATTGGGCAGTGATAAGCAAAATGAAAAGAGATAGTCATTTTTATTCAAACACAATTTTTTTTGCCACAGTTTTTGGTTTTAATGGGGTTGGAAGTTATGTGTCCAACCAATCTTTTGGCTAAACCAACCAAACTAATTTGGCAGTGTTTTTTAGCCAATCAAGGGCAAATCAATACAAATTAGTCACATTAGCCAAAAATACTTGTTAAGTATTATTGCAGCTTTCAAAAATCTAAGGTGGGTCTCAATTCAATAATCACAGGAGCGGAAGTCAGCATCTGATGCCGCTAGGAATGGTAACTGCTTAGCAGGACAACAATACTACTTAAGACTAATCTTACAACTGTAGCCAGTGGTCTGCTCAGATGTTGATCATTACATGGTTTAATCTAACCAAACTAGTTTTAACCAACTAGACTCTCCTACAAACTCCCACATCTTGTCTGAGTAGTGATGCTGTTTAAATGCCTGTCGAGGTTCTCGCGCGGTCTGAACCACTTACTGAAGCGGTAATGTGGTATCACGTTAGAGAGGCCTCGGACGTCATCAGTTTTGGCCCCTCCCCTAAATGAATCACGCCTCGACACACGCTTTGGGGTAAACGCCCCCTACATTACTCAACACATGCCTCGAGGCCTCAGCTCATCTCATAACATCACTACCCAGAAGGAAAAGTTGTTATTCCCTACCCCATACATGGTTGGGATTATTGATTATTTTATCCAACATGGCTGTCGTTTGGTTGAAACGAAAAACAATAAAAAGAAGCAATAAAAAGAAACAAAAAAAGGGAGTTAATAAGCTGTTTATTTACTATACTTATATTACTAAAATATCTGTATCTCCCCTAAACTTTCACACACAGAGTTCTGTCCTACCTCTTCTAGTCGACCTATTACTACAGTGTTTGAATATATTTGAATAATAATGAATAAACTGGGATGACGTATTGTGGTATGGTTCTCTCCCTTTGGTTTTCCAACATGAAACTGGAACATGTTAGGGTGGATTTAATGTTATTTCTAGACCATCACTCTAACTCCACATGTAAACAAGTAGCCTTGTCTTCGTAATCTACACGGCTGCTTTGGTTTGCTTTGGGTGTTTTTCAAATGTTCCCTACCGCTCTTCTATTTGGAGAAGTTTGTTTATAAAGAAGAGGAAAACCTCCTTTAAAAACTCATGTTTTCACCTGTTAATTATCTTAGTATTTACAAGGTAAATATTTCCCCATGGACAGCATGAGAGGCAGGCATATAGGTGTATCTTTGTGCAAACTATGAAAAAGAAAACAGCAAAAGAAAACAAAACAGTGAAAATCAGAAAGTTTTTAAAAGGATGACCAAATCTGTGGTGTAAACCCTTCATTTTATATCACATCTTATATTTGAAGATGTGTTCTGTTTAATCCACCAAATCAAATGAAAGTCACTTGCTCATCATTCTGATGCTGTTTTATTTTCATTCTTTTGTATGTTGGTCCCCTCTATTGCTGTAGATCTGCCTCAGCTGTTTTTCTATTTTATTACAACCCTCAAAGTCCTCTACAACCTTCCCTCTGACCTGGTGGCTCAGTTTTCTATTTTTAATGATACTTTATGTTGTCTTATCAAACCTCCACACAACTTTACATTTTTAACTAATCTCACTGATATGGTGACCTTCTAAGTTGCCACTTCAGAACTGGACATCTTGCCTTAAAAAATATAATCTGGCATTCCTCATGCAAAACTGATGAATCAAATTTCAATATCTCCCTTTAATGTCATTATTAAAAAAAAAAAGAAAAGTCAGAATTTACTTTCAAAAACTAGCATTTATTTTAATCATCCCTTCAGGGAGTTGAACTGAATTCAAAGTGCAACTAAATTCAAGCTGTGAAACATGCTTGTGCAGGTCGGCAGGCGCTGCCACTGCAAGCAACGAAAATATGATGTGCAAGATGTTTAAAGCGGGTTTAATCACGCAGTGAGCCGTTTACCAGCTGTAGGTAAACATCTGAGAACAAAAAGAGACAAAGTGTTGTCAATCTGAACAATTGATGCAGATAAATTAGCATTTATTTAAAAGATAAAACATTTAATCAATAGATAGAATGAATGAATCATCCAGCCCTAATTAAAACATTTCCATTGGTTCTGTTGGTCCATATCAAACACAAAAACTGCAGCTTTTATCTACTGTAGAGAAATTAATAAAAAGCTCACTTCTTTTTGGAAAAACAAAAATCGTCTCACAGATTAATGTTTCCTCTCTGGTCCTTTTGCCCCATATTCACCCTGCAGGGAATACTTACTCAGCTTTCCCAGGTCCCCACAGCTGACCTCTTTATTACAATCAACTATCACTTTAAATTATTTACAGCAGATGAGCGGACAGCGGCGGTGTGAGCTGAACACATCGTTGTTCTTCTATTGTGTGGCAGGCCAGAGCTGCTGTAGCTGCTTTTATCCGAGGCCTGCTGGACCTCTCGGTCATGTTTCCCCTCTCTGGGCTTGGGCACAGATATCCATCTCAGTCTGAAACTCTTTCTCTCAGACTTCCTCCTAAATCTGCTGGCTCTTTAGGTTGGTTTTCCTGTGAGAGTCCCCTCTTGGGTCTCTTAGGGCCCACAGAGCCATAGTCACCACCAGAAAGTGTGTTGTTCACGTGAGAGCGTGTTTGAAAAGCTCGGTGGAGCCTTTTAGAAACTGCTAGTCTGGCTGTCATGTGCACAGAAAGAGGGGAAGCGTGATTTTAACTAGACGATAGGGTGTGTGTGTGTGAGATAGAGGAAGCATCAGAGTGTGTGAATAGCAGGACTCTCTTCTAGATCGCTCTATATTTATATATGTATTTCTACCAGAGAAGAGTAGAGCGCTGCCATCTCTTATGATCCTCTTTAGCTCAGCTTGGCTAACTTTTAAAACTTCGTCTCCAAGGGGCCCGAGTTAACGAGATGTAGACTGCGTTCATAAAGGCATGCTGAGGGTCTTTACGAGGCTGTTGAGCAGTGTGAGAAACAGAGTCGCGAACATGGTGGCAGAGCTTCCAGAGGCGATTTTTGAGTTGATGAAGGGGTGGAGAAGCTGATGGCGGAGAGGAGGTCAGGACGACCTGGCTCTCTAAGGAGGGAACATCTGCACCCTTCTCTCTGGGTATGATCTGGACTCAGGGATCAGAATCACTCTCAGATGGCTCACGTTATGCTTTGATGAGAATCGGACTCCTGTTGTTTTGTTTCTTTTTTTGTAAAATTTGTTATATTTCTCCAACGATTATTTTGCAAATCGATTAATCTGTTGATTATTTTTTTGATTAATCAATAGAGAAATGTTTTTTAAAGAATATATTTTTACAGTATTAAACCAGGTGAAACTAAAACTTTTCCATTTAAGGAGTTCTGGATAGATCATATTGACAGTTTTTTAACTTAAATGCAAAATGTTTAGACATTTTTTTTTTTACAACTTTGATATAATTACTGCTCGAAGTGGGGCGCTCTGTCAACTAAAGGCGTGTTTTACAGTCTCTATACTCCAGTTAACCATTAATCGATTATTAAATTAGTTGATGATTATTTTCACAATAATTATTATCACAATAATCAATTGTTTCAGCCCTAACAGTAGGTAAAGCCGTTTAACTGTGAAAAAAGGCTGTATTATGTAAAAACACTTGCAACCTTCAAGAAAATGGACATTTTATGCTGTTTGGTCATTTGTTTTATAAATAAGCTTGACAGGAGTTACTAAAACAGCAGGAGATTTCTAAAAAAAAAAATATAGATGATTGTCAGTAGATCAATGTGAGCTTATCTCTGATTTATTATTTTCCCTTTCCATTTCTGAATAGACAAATGACAAACAAATATTTTAAAATCTTGATTTTATGTAATCATCTCCTTGAGGACTGAACTGAATTCAAAGCTGTAAAAACATGCTTGCAAATCAAGTTGCCCTGCCTTTAGAAACAATGAAAATATGACCTGCAAAATGTTTTCAGCTTGTGGTGTGAGACACTGAGCTGGTGTATTACCTATCAATGCACATCTAACAAGAAAAGGGGAAGGGATAACATCGCCCTGGACAAGGGAAGTGCACGGAGGAGAGGGAAAAAATCAAGATTTATCAAAAATGGGATCTTCATAGATGGTAAATTTGATTAATCGGTCAAACTGATTTCTCACCTACTCCTGAAAGCTTCAACCTTTGTGCTGCAGAGGTTAATTTTTGGAGGAAGAAAGTATAGGGACCCCTCTGAAAAGATTACAGCTCAGAAGCCTAACCTCATGCTTGGTTTTAAATAGCTTGTTGCTTTTTAAAGTTATTTTTAGCTTGCTATTTTGCTGAAAACAAGTCTATGCAGTGATAATTATTTTTCATTTTTTTCTCACACAGAGCCGAGTCTCTGTTTGTTTTCTCTAGAACTCCACCTAGCGAGCCTCTTGTTACATAATCACCATGGCAGGCCAGGAAGATGACCTCAGCAGTTTTTGTTGTCTTGCAGAGACAAATGCTTCTTTTCTCTAATTGTGTCTTAACTCCTGTGTGCTGACCTTCAGACTATTAGTCATGGCCAAAGATCTAATGCAAAGGTCAGCCTGGCTTATTCAAACAGTAGAAATATCGTCTTACTCAAAACTTACAGGACATTCTGCTGTTTGAAGCGGACCAAAGTCTACACAGGTTTGAACTTTCTTGTGTGATGAAAGCGACATAGTTTACTAAATGCATAAACCTCTTTCGTTGTTGCGTCAAGGCTCGCTGTCTGCCTCAGAAGTGACTTCCTTTTTATATATTTTTGTTTCATTTTTCTAGTCGCAGACCATGAACATTGTGGGCCAGCTAGCGGAGACCGTGTTTGTCACGGTGAAGGAGCTGTACCGCGGCCTGAACCCCGCCACCCTCACCGGAGGGATCGACGTCATCGTGGTGCGGCAGCCGGATGGGTCTTTCCAGTGTTCCCCGTTCCACGTCCGCTTTGGGAAGCTCGGCGTGCTCCGCTCCAAAGAGAAAATTGTGAGTGTGCTCCTTTTTTTTCTTTTTCTCTGTATGAAAGTTTTGCCACTGTTGTAAATCCTATCTTGTGATTTTAGGTCGATATCGAGATCAATGGAGAAGCGGTGGACCTGCACATGAAGCTTGGAGACAATGGCGAGGCTTTCTTCGTGGAGGAAAACGAAAACATGCAGGTAAGTCGAATGACATCAGTCAGTCTTCTCCTGCTAAATCATACATTTGTGTTCATTTTATTTTATTTTGCTTCTCTTCTTCTCGATATTAGGTGCCAGCCTATCTGTGCACCTCTCCGATCCCTCAGGAGGCCCCTGAGGAGATTGACGTGGCCACCGAGGAGCCCGGAGCTCGCAGGAAGAAACGGCGGCGAAGGCGTGTGCGTTCCGATAGTCACCTGAGAGAAGAAGTCAGCTCCTCATCAGAAGAGAGGGATAGAGAGGAGAGCGAGAGAGAAGCTGATGCTGCGTCTAAGGAGCTGTCTGCAGCGCTGCTTGCCAGGTCAGATGATAAAACATGCAAATGTTATCAGATTAGACCAAATAAAATCAATCAAAATCCTCCAAATGTTTTGTGATATAATCAGAAGTTATTGAAAAATGTCTATCAATTGTATCTGCTTAACAATGAACTGAAGGTGAGATATTTTAAATAAACAAAGTAATCTGATTTTTGTTAAAAATGTTAATCCAAACCATACCAATGTTAGCCTAACTGAAAGGAAGGCATCAATTTTCTACAAAATCATTCAGAGGCTGATGTTTTAGTAAATATTTACAGAAAGCATATTCAATATGTGGGATCTGGGATTTATTAAATACTTTACAATTCAGAGTGAACGAAAGTGTTAGATATTAATCTTTTTCTTTCTGTATGATCTCTTAGCAAATCCGTGTACTACTCACTGTCTGAGGAGCCAAAGGAGGAACTTGGGGCGGCGCAGAACAAAGACACCCATCCACATTCAGATGGAGAGCAGTCGCCCTCAGAAAAGTGAGAAAAGCGTCATTTTTCCCCCTTTCTAGAAATTTACAGGTTAATTCTCTACTTTTTGAGAATCTTCTGTGTTTTCTAGTGTTTTCTTCAGTCGACCAGATTCTCCTAAAAGCGACTCCGAGCTCCTGGTTAGAACCCAGGATTTGTCTGGGCTTCAGATGCAGTGGAATTGGGGAGGATTTCCCATGGTACTACACACAAACACAGATGCAGCTCTGCATTTTGTGATACTTGTATGAAGTCAGAATTCTTCACAATAAATACTCATCATACTCGTATGAGCAGTTTTTAGTTAAAACACAGGCATGTAAACTACTCTCCATGCGCTTTTGAAATATTTTAGGCATACAGATTTAATACCATGACGCTCCTAATATATCACAAGAATGAGTTCATGCTCTTTTTCTGCACTTTCTTGCTTTTTTTGCACCCAATTCTCTTCTATTCGCTGGTTGACCTGCATCTGTGCACTAATGTCAACCTTTGTCACTTTGAGGATAGAACCAGCTTGAGGAAGTCCCACCTCTACTGTTTTCTTCCATCTAGTAAGGGTTCTGACTGTCACTACCCATCCTTCCCATAAGCACGGTCCGTACCTCCATCTCATTTGCGCATGAGCAGCCAGATAAAAAACTGTGTCACCCTCGATTTTATTTTGTAAAAAAAACCTAGCTTACGTTTTTCCCCTTCCCAAAAAACAATAAGCTTACTAAAATATAATGTGTTAAAGGTTAATAAGGTATTTCCTGAGCAAATTAATGCCTTAAAATCATTCCCGGAAAAGGGATCCTACGCTTTAGATTTAAACATAAATCTATTCTATTTGAATTTTATCTTTTCCTTTCATCTTAACATTATGGTATATAGTGCGTAGCCTAAAGAAAGAAACAACTAAAATGCAGATAAACATGGTTTAATCATATTTTTCCAGACTGCTCTGAGCAGCTTAACAGAGAAAATGTAAAAAATGTCAAAATTGTTTCAGAAAAGTCATAGAACTTTTTTTTAAGCTGTGTATTAGCATTCTTTGGTGAATTAAGGATATAAATACGTAATTTTAGTACCATAATTACATTATTTATTGAAACCCGCATGTATATCTGGCTGCGCAAATGAGCTGATGGTACGGGATTGTGCTTCCGGGATGGATTAGGTAGTGACGGTGACAACATTTCAAAGAGCAACGGCGATGCGCAAACTTGATTAGATCGAGAGAAGTTAGCCGCTAAAGCTACTGCCATGCTACGTTGGCGTAGCATGGCAGTAGAGAAGGATATTAAGTTGCTCTACTTGACTTTCGTCATGTAAATAAAATGTTAACAGCTATAAATGTTACATTTGAGTCAACTGAATATGATTCAAGCGGGCATGTAACACGGCTTACTGCAGAGCTAAAATATGGAGTACAACCTCTTAATCAGAAAGCTTTTTCCTAATGGTTGTATTTTATGAAACAATTACCAAATGTATCGTTAACAAACTACTGGATTCACATGCAGCCTAACTTTCTTGGACTTCCGCTGGCAAGACTCTCTTATTCAGTGGCTCTCATTGCAGCTAGCTATGTTTGCAATGCATCTTTAGGCTAAAAGCTGTACTTTGAAAGTAATGTGCCCAGATTTCTGCATCTAATCTGGTGACATTTCCAGCTCATAGATAAAAATAAATACATTTTATGAAAATTAAAATAGCAAATGGGGACAGTGATGTTTTCATAAATTTTTGCATATTTATTAATATTTAATCCAGGAATGTGCCTCTTCCTGTAAGATAGTTAATATTAATCAATCAATAGCGTTTATTAGTGCCATTTTGTCATTCGGTCTTCTCTCTTTTCTTTCCTTGTGAGCAACATAACATTGTGTTCAGGAACAGGCCAGTTTGCATCATTACAGAGTCTGTCGGACTTTCACTCTATTTCCACTCAAAAAAATGTAATTAAAACTTATATATATATATATATATATATATATATATATATATATATATATATTCAAATTAAAAAACATTTTTTTTTTCTACACAATGATAACAAATATATATATATCTAATTAAATGGCCTCAAGTTGTTTATACTGTATCCTCGACAGCTGCAGTGCATTGGGTAGCCTCCAGCAGCCTGGATTAAAATCTGTGTCACTATTAAAAAAGTTACGTTATATTTTTATATTCAGATTAAATTACAACAATTAAAACACTTCTATAAATCTGGATCATTCTCATGAGCAGCTTGAAGCAGCAAAAATACATGGTTTGTCATTACACGTCTAGATGAATGCAAAATAAGCTAAAAATAATGTGACCTTTAACAAAGTTATAGTGAAACCTAATAGAAATATATTTTCACAATCCTAAGCCTATTTTCTATTCATGTGTACATAGATACAGCTGTGCTTTTGTCTCAAAACCCACCGGGTCACCGGCGACCTACTTTAAAGTGTTTACAAATAACTGAACTCTGAATGCATGAAAATTAAACTGGTAAAATGTTTACCAATATAAACATGTTAGACATCGTTGGAAAGCTTAAATTCTCCTAAATTCAACCACCTAGTTTATTTTATGGACATAGCGGGCACCAAAGAACAATAATAGCAGTGCGTTGAAATGTAGCATGACAAAGCAGCCACAACAAGCAAGCATGTCTTTATTACTGCTGTTCAAAAAAGACTTATTATTTGCGAAAATAAAAAAAACAACTTTGAGTCATGTTTGAACTGATGCAGCTTGGGTGTTTTACTCACCCAATTTTCATGTATATATTGATAAACTAGAAGGTGTTAGCTTTCGAATAACGTATCACACATGTAATTTAGCTTACAGTTCCTCACTTATTTTCTTTTCCATTTGGGTATGCAACATAGGCAATTTCCCAGAAATTAGGTGGATATTAAGAGGTTAAATAAGCTGTTATTATTTTGACAGGATCTAAATGTAAAGATTATATGATCCTATATATCCCTGTTAGAAAAATCCAAAACAAAAAGAAAATCTTTGGGCTGAAATTGCACATATGCTGGATGCTGTTGGGGATTTTTTTAATATGTAATTTTAAATTAAGCGTTCATTTCCTGCATTTTTTGCTTCTATAAAACTTAATAATAATATAGCGCATGCTTTACTGGAGCTCCAAGGAAGTCAGAGCGCAACAAGTTGGGAGGAACAGTGGAGGATGTATGCTTTGCTTTGCGCAGGTGGTCTGGAGCTGAGCGAGGTGGTGACAGATGATGAGGGATTTCGGGGTTACAAAGGGCAGCTGTGATAACTAACTTCCTCATCTGTTTTAAAACCACTTTAACAGCTGATTCTGTGCACAGCATGCTAGCACGCTCTTTCTTCCCTAATATCAGTTTACAGGCAACGTTTTCCCCCTCATCCATAAAACGGTAAAATCGGTGACATTTCCAGGGACAGGTGGCGACTGTCCCTGGAAATCTGAGACGTCTGGTCAGCCTATTTTAAAGAGTTAAAAATAGTTACGTAGAGTCATCATTAAATAATAAAGCCTTACCCTATTAATCAATGTGTTCTTGCCGCAGAAGCCATTTGTTCTAAAAATGATTGTTGTTTGATTTGGAAATTTTTATATGCTAAGCTAACGTTGCCATCACTGTTTATATTTAGGAAATTGGGGCTTGAATGAACTCTTGTATTTTTTCATGCATGTTTTTCATTGTCCAGCATTGTTTTTATAAAGTTGTCAGTTGATGACAGATTGCTGTTGGATATAAATGCAGGATTCAACTCGATAAGAATTACTCTGAAGGTGCACTGCTAAAGTTACTAGCTGAAATCAATGCTACGTTCACACCAAAAGCAGCAGGAGTAGCAAAAACACGTGTGCTGCTTCATTTTTGATGCTTGTGCAAGTTTAGTTCTGACGTGCGACTGAAGCATCTTGAAGCACATGTCAGATGCTCAGAATCTCATGACGCGCTGCTCCTGCTGATCAAAACTATTGTTGCGCCAAGTTGTTCATCAACCATTGACTTTGCTTGTAAACTAGCTGCTTCTGCGGCCTCTGCTGCTAGTGGTGTGAACGTAGCATAAGAAGAACACCATAGAAAGTGGATTTTCTGAAAAGTAGCCAATTACAGGCCTTTTACTTTCTCAGGTTGGTTCCACCCTAAGAGTAATAATAGTTGACATTATTACAGACATCAACAGATAAAGAGGCGAGTAGGAGAGAAAATACAAATAGATAAAAAGCAAGATAGCACAGAGAAGGTGGTGAAGATGATTAGGGGCCTTGTGGTATCCACAGATATAAAACATTTCAAATGTGTGTGGATTGTAGTTTAGATGCGTTTGTTTAAAATATTTTTTTTTAATATCAGTGCTTGTTAAATCTATGGACTTTTGGCAGAATTTGAACTTCATATCCTTGTATGTATCTGCCCTGCTAACACCCAGTTCTCCTGCTTTCTGCAGCCCTGTCATCCAGAAAAGGCACCAGCAGAGCTACAGGCCCCCTCTCCCTCAAGCACTTCTCATTTCCGCACCATTGAGAGACAGGACTCCTTTGACCTGGGCTATGGCACCGTGACCAGCTGCCATAGAGCAGGCGGCGTAACTGTTGTAAAGCCTCACCCGAGGACACTCTCTCTCGATTTAGGCAACTCTTCTACACAAAGCAGCCCTTTATCACTGGAGAAAAACTCTCTTGAGGCACTTTCCTCACACAGCGACCTCTTCGTGTCCTGCGTTTCCTCAGGGGGTATGGATTCAACACGGTCACTTGAACGCACACCGGATGGAGATGACAGAGAATCGCCTTCTGAGCCAGTTGACGTTTATTTCAACACCAGCCAAGAAAGCACTGAGCAGGTTAGCTCAGAGGTTGAAATGGGGATTGAAAACAGAGCTTTAAACAAATTTAACAGGTTTGAAACACAGATGGATGACAGCACTGTCCTAGAAACAAGAGACCTAGTAGATCAGCAGCACCAAGCTGTCTTATCTGAGCAGAGGGAACCGGGTTCTTCCCATTCTGCTCCTGTCGGTGTGGGAGATGGAGGCATATTTCCTGGCACTGATGGAGGAGACGAGGATAACGTAGCTAGCGCAAATGATGGATCACCTGCTAGCTCAATGACTGCTGTATCACAGGACGTGGTCTCTGGGATCAACGCGGCAAAGCCCTCTGAAGCATCCTCCACAGCGGAACAGGACAAGAGAAAAGGTGAAGCATTTTAGGGATTATGTTAATGCTTGAAGAGAAAGTCACAAACCTTTCATTTCACTGCAGCGTGGTTCTGTTTGCAGGTAAACGAAATCACCATCTGGGCCCATCAGATATTTATCTGGATGACCTGACCACTCTGGACCCAGAGGTGGCGGCACTTTATTTCCCCAAAACGTAAGATGTTCGTTTTGTTTTGTTTTTTAACACAGTACTCTGACCTATTTTGTTCAATTTAATCCTGCCTCAACTGGTAGCCTATCAACAGTGGTGTTATGTAAAAGAAATGTACAAGGGGGGGAAGGAGGGGGCCAGTTTTTTTTTTTTTTCCTTCATTCGGGCACAGAACAAAATTATAACACTCACAAAAAAAGCAGGGCAAGAGTGCATCATTCGGTATATTTAGTGAGCCACAAAGCCAGGATTACAGACCCCTGATCTCTCTAACAATGACCGTTATCTGATCGCAGTACGATTGAAGCTTAAAGCTGCTGCAGTTTCTTAAGTAGACTCCAAGATCGCAGACTTCCGCCAAGCTGCAAATTTCGCCCCATATTGTAACTTAAACCTATAGCTAAACTTGCACATTATCTTGATCATTACAAATGAATGAATTTTAATGAATTGTTTCTTGATGAGAGGGGCACATCTGGTAAAAATTTTCTTTAAATCCGTTCATAACTTTTCAAGTTATCTTGTACGCAGACAGACTCTCCTAAAAACGTAACCACCATGGCTGAGGTAATAACTGTTAAAGGAGACTGTAAAGGAAAAATAGTGTATTTTCCCTTAGTTTGTGCAGGTAAAAACAATATTAAAAAAAGATATTTGATGTTGGAAGTCCATGAACTTATTTGAAATATGTTGATAGACTTTTTGTTTACTTAAATGCTGGTAAAGATTCTGAGTAATCCAGTTCATAGTCGTTCCAAAAAAAATAAAAAAAACATACAATCCACTGGACTTGGTTTCCAAGTTTGAAGAAGTTTTACTTCCCATCCAGGAAGCTCTTTCAATTCAAAATGCTTTACTTTAAATGTAAATCATCTTATTCCAGTGACAAATTGTTTGACTTACCTCCTCAATTTAAGGGAGGTCGTCCATCTGAACTGAAGGAATCTGCCAAGAGGACAGCTAGTACTTTATGGTAGAGTGGTGTCAGGAAAGCTATGAGAAGATCAATTTCTAATTTGAAAATAGCAAAATGGGGTAACCAGGCAAACATGTAAAGTTGGACTCTGTGTTATAGAGATGTAATAGCACAGTAACCCTTACACAGTAATCATTTTATGCTTGTTCACAGGGAGGCGGAGGCAGCATTCAGCCAGAATGCTGAACAGAGTTCCTGTTCGGGGAGCCAGTCGCCTCAGTCTGTGGGCAGCGGAGCAATGGACAGCGGCACCGAGTATCTGTCCGATTCCGCATCGTACAGCATGGACGTCAGTTTGTCCCTCTGTGGGCAAGAAGGAGGCACCAACCAGATCACCAAAGGTAGGGAGGGCTGGATCAGGCGTCAGGGTGATGGCCCTGCTTATACGGCACACAACATATAGATGTAATCTTTTTCTTTTTTTCATTTTGCTCCAGAAAAGTTCACACAACACCTCGTTACATATCAGGATTTAGTCAACAACCCGGGAATCATTGAGGACCAAAGTCTGGTTGTTTGCATTAATTCTAAGTAAGGGAAAATATATATATACATTCTAATGTTTTTAAAAGTTCTCATCATATAGTGTGACGTTTTTATTTCATTCTTGTCTATTGGCTCTTTGGCAGCTATTACAATTGGGCAGTGGCTGCTCCAATGATCCTGTCCATGACAGCATTCCAAAAACACCTCCCAAAGGTATCTTTACTTCTTATTTAAATACATTTTTCAGCTTTTTTTTTTTTACTTTAAAGGAAATGTATATATTTGATATGTCAATAAAAGCACTTGCGGTAAAAAAAAGTGTTTCACCCACAGAGTACAATAGAGCAGCTGGTGAAGGACAAGATGCCTAAAAAGTCTGGTCGCTGGTGGTTCTCCTGGAGAAGGAGAGATATGGACAACAAGCAGGTAGCCAATCATGTAGAAATGTTGCATGTCTTGGCGTGCACTGACTACACACGCTTCAACATGAAGGGGCTTGTTCTTCTAGTTGACATGGAGCTCTTTTGATTGATGTCGACTCCCCTTTTTTTTCATTTCCTTCAGCAGAAACAATCAAAGGAGGACCAGGAGGAGCCGCTGGCAAGTGTTTCCTCCACTGTTCAGTAAGTCGCCTCTTTAACAAATGATTAATTAATTCCTCTCAAGGAAACCATGCAGCATGCCTTCCAGCTGGAGCTTTCTGCAAGTCCTGCTGTTACACTTCTGTTTCTCTACTGTTTTACATTTGTAAAGTTGAGAAAGCAGAATATGACAATTGTTTGCTTTTTTTCCCTCCTCCACAGCTGTGAGAATATGTTATATATCATTGTTAGCAGAAATGCAGCTGTCCTGTAAATGTCTTTTAGGTTTTCTGGAGAACATAAAGGGAACATTGCTGAAAGAATTCAACTTTTGTAGTTTAAAGCAAGACCTAAAGAGGACATAGCACACAGGTGCAAGCTTGGATTCCAGTCAGATGAGACCTAAACTTGAGTTGTTTTGAAAAACACTTTTGCGGAAATTTAATACGGAATTAAAAACTAGACACAATTAAAACATTAAATAAAATGCCCTTCAATAAGTTTAAATCACCAGGCCTAGATGTGGAAAAACTGCCGGTTTTATACACAAATGCAAACAAAGGCCATTGGACATGTGTGAGGTGTCTCTTTCCTGCTAATTCTTACTGGGTGACAAATGTTAACAATTTTAAGGGCAGCATCTCTTTAGGGATTAAACAAACTCTATCCCCCTTTTGTGTTTTATTTGTTTATTAAATGCTACGTTGATTGTAAACTGCATTAAATGTTTATGTTTTATGTACGTATAGTTTAATAATTTAATATTCTGTTTGAACTCAGTCATCCTACACTGCAGCCGTCCCGTTGTTCCCTCTAAAACAACCCCCTCGCTGTTCTTTAAATCTAAGTTAGTGTTCCTGGCTCTCATGCTACTCTGCTTGGAACGTATTGAGACCATGCAACTAGCGAGTACCTGCAAACAGTTTAATTGAGCTCATTTAGATTTATCATGCAATTAATTGATTTGTTTTCATTGTGACAGGCTTAAATTCAAATCACACTTTTCAAGAAATAGAAAGCTACATCACTTTCCTTTAACTTCACATGTTCTATCACAACATTTTTCATGAATACACCGACTTTAAGGTTCTAAGCACGTGGAAACGTTTGTATAAGTTTACAAGGCACTGTTATGTTGGAAATTGTTTTTAGTATCCTATATTCTTAAAAGAAACGCCAAAATTGTGACTATTTGTTGTTGTTTCTTCAGAGCCACACTGGATGATGTTGACAGTGATGAGGCTGCAGGGCTTGGAAGAAAAGCCACCATTCCTTCCGATCTTTCTACAGAAACCATGAACATGGCTCAGTCCATCAGTCAGATGTATCGCAAATCCCTGCGTCTCACCTCTAAGCAGATAGTAGGCCAATCATGACTCTTTGTCTAAAAACACCAAAGGTATTTCAAAGGAAAAAGCTGTTAAGGCCTTCGAATGGTTCAAGTCTGCTCTTCCATCCCCAGGAAAATCTAAATCTGCACGAAGGAGCCAATAAAGTGGTGTTCAGTGTGACCACACAGTATCAGGGCACCTGTCGCTGTGAGGCTGCTATCTACCTGTGGAACTGGGACGATCGTGTGATCATTTCAGACATTGATGGGACAATCACTAAGTAAGCAGAGTAAAACGAGTTTTTCATTCTGCATCTCTGGTGTAGGAGCTAAATCATGCTGCAGCATTACCTCCCTAAAGCATATTACATTAGATCTTTTCTTAAGCCGTGCAGACACTCTCTCTGCACTACTGAAGAATACTGAAGTCCCACCCACTTTTTGAATTATAGTTAATATTATTCAATCACTATTCTTGAACTTCCATCCCTAGATGGTCTGTTAAGCCTTAAATATAGGAACAAATTTAGCTGACAGAGACAACTTGTTAGAAATAACTGCCGCGCATCCTCACACACTGAATTCCCCATTAAACAGAAAAGAAGAAATCTATTTTTTTTTCTCATTTTCACGTTCCCAGCTCTTATTTCTAGATACACTGACATAAATGTATCACATTTAGATGTTAACCTCAAGTGTCCTTTAAAATATAAGTTCCTACTGTAATCTTTGTTGCTGCTTCCATAGTTTTTTTGTTTCTTATCAAAAGAAGTTTCTTTTTTTCCCCTTGTAAGCTCCCCTCTCTGTCTCCCACAGGTCTGATGCTCTCGGTCATATTCTACCTCAGTTTGGAAAAGACTGGACACATAAAGGAATTGCCAAACTTTACCACAAAATACACCAGTATGTAATTTCAAACCTTGGAAATATTGGCTCTAGATAGATGAGATGAGAACATCAATGCATCTAATCCTGTGATATCATGTTGTGTTTTCTTATTTCCTATATCCTGTTGTTCGAGAAATATATATATATATATATACAGTTATTTGAAAAAGTTTGGGCAACCCTATTAATCGTTATTATTTCTATTTGAAAATATTTGGGTGTTTGCAACAGCTATTTCAGTTTGATATATCTAATAACTGTAGGACACAGTAATATTTCAGTATTGAATTGAGGTTTATTGGACTAACAGAAAATGTGAAGTAAATAAAATATCTAAAAATGCAGTATATAAAATATAACTTTAGGGTTTAACTGAGTTAAACCCTTTTTTTAGTAGTTAATGTAATAAAATCCAGTCATAGTTATATATATTTCTTTGCAGAAATGGATATAAGTTCCTGTACTGTTCGGCCAGAGCGATCGGCATGGCTGCTATCACTAAAGACTACTTACAGTGGGTCAACGACCAAGGCACTGTTCTTCCTAAAGGCCCTGTGCTGCTGGCTCCCAGCAGCCTCTTCTCAGCACTACACAGGTAATCATATATCGGATATATATATAGGATATTCTAAAATGGTAGCATTGAACTTTTTGCAGTTGTTTTGTTTCTTACCTTCTTGTTACAGAATATCAGAGGAATTACAATATGAGCCAGTTGGTTTTTTTCACCTTTTAAAGAGCATTTGGTGAAATGATCAAACTTTCATTTCATCCATTTTAATCAAGATACATTATTTAGATTCATATACAAAAGCACAGATATGTGTGCTTGTTTGTTTGTTTGTTTGTTGGGTTTTCTCTTCTGCTTAATGATCTGTGAGCGTACCATCCATGCAGCAGAACGGAGGTGAAAGACTGACAGCACAAGGGATTAAACAGCCTCGGATGGACTTTGTTTCTGTTTAACTGAATGGGATACACAACAGTAGCAGCAGCGGTTTTTTCTGTGACGCTGTCTGCTGGGAAACTAATATTTTAAAAAATGCAGTTAGGTGCCAGATTGAACAGTGCACCAATCAGGTCAGTGCATGTGTTGAAGGGGCTTAATCAAGGCGTGCCTTGTGCTGTGAACAAACAGGATTTTTTAGGAAAAAAAGCAGCGCATCCAGCTCTGTTGCAACAAGCAGATTGTCACAGCTCTAGTTTAATTTTTTGTCATTCATTGTTTACAGTTATGTTAAGGTTATATTTAATCTCCATTGCCCCCCAGTTTCGACTTCCTTCCCATTTGTTTTCTTCTAGTTCTCTCTCCACACCTGTTCCAACTCAGATCATTACTCCAATCTGTGTCCTGTTACCCCCAGATTCTACATCCTCCCTCTGCACCCCACCCACGTACACCAGTCGGGGCACTTGTTCACTCATGTTAATCAGCGAGAACTGTTCCACATCCCCAGCTACACCTTCGGTCATCACTGCCCACATACGTCTTCTCTGTCCTCCACCGGACGGAGCCAAGATATTTTTTTCTCCAGTCGGGCCAAGTCAAGATCCGCATTTGGAATTGCACCAAACAGGAAAAAAAGCATTGAGAATATCCGGTTTTTCAAATTAAAACATGGTAACCACATATTAACTAACTACAAATTAGAGCATAATTCTTAGATATTCCCCAAAACTAAGACCGTTAAATTATTGGATGCAAATTATTGGTACTTCAACATACCAGGAAGCAAATTTCTCATCTCAAACAAAATATTTATTTTATACCGAGAGGCTTAAAAGTTTCATCAAATCCAGTCACAACAACTTCAAAGATACACAACTTACAAAGATGCACAACAAAAATAAAAATGTCTGGGTAGAAACGTGTGTGATTGATGGTGAGTTTTAATTATGTCATATTAAATTAAGCTTTAATTACCACAAGTTTTTCTACTACGAATTAAATAATAATATAGCACATGCTCCCCTTGAGCTTCAAGGAAGTCAGAGCGGAGCAAGACGGGATGAACCGCTGAACCCCATATTCCACATCCTCTGTTTGCGCTCCGCCCCGCCCAGTTCACGTACATCACACGGAGTACTTCTCTGTCATGTTAATCATTCAGAATTTCCGTAAAAGTTAAAAAATTTTTAAAAAACAATCCACTGGACTTGGTTTCCAAGATTTGAAGACGTTTTGCTTCGCCTCCAGGAAGCTTTCTGAATTCAAATGGATCTGCAGTGAGTTTGAGACTCAAACCAACTCCAGTGGATTGTTTTTTTAAAAAGATTTTTAACTTTTACGAAATGGCTACGACCTGGATGACTGAGAATCTTCATCAACATCATTCAGAATTGTTCCACATCCACAGCTACTACTCTGCATGTCACCATCCACGAACATCCTCGCAGTCCGTCCCCATGAAAATACGGAGCCAAGCTATCCTTTGCTCAGCACCGGCCAGGTCAAGATCCACAATTGCATTCGCACCAAACAGGAAAAACAACAGCGAGAAGATCCGGTGTGTCAAATCAAAATATAGTAACAATAGATAGGTAACTACTAATTAGACTTAGACAGACTTAGACAGATTTTATTTGTCATTTTGTTTACACAAGTGTAAAACAAAGAATTATATATATATATTTGAAATATTATTATTGGAATTATATAATTATATCTAATTCTAATATATATTAATTAGAGCATCATTCTTATATATTCCCGAAAACTAAGACTTTTTAATTGGATGCAAACTATTGGTTCTTCAACATACCAGCAGGCAGATTTCTCATCTTCATCTGATCGCAGGCCTGGATGAAGAGATGCTGAGTTTGGAAGTAGAGAACAAACAGTTCATACAAGCCTAGTTCGTCTGATACTATTATCTCTATTGCAAAAATCCAAAACGAAAAGAAAATCTTTGGGCAGAAACTGCACATATGCTTGATGCTGATGGGAATTTTTTTAAATATGTAATATTGAATTAAGCGTTCATTTCCCATTTCCTATGACTTTAACAATAATTTAGCGCATGCTCTCCTCAAGCTTCAAGGAAGTGGAAGTGGAGCAGGACAAGAGGAACAGCGCAGGCTGTAGGCTTTGCTTTGCAGGTGGGGGTTACAGAGGATGTGGGATTTCGGGGATAGTCTTCTCCTCAGCGTATCTTTACCCCTCCTCTGCAGATTGTCTCTGCTGGATCGACGTCTTTATTTCATGTCCACATCAGTTCTTTTTAGTCTCCTCCTTTGCACTCTGTTCTGGTTCCCGTGTTCCCTGCCAGATTACTTTTGGATTTATACCACAACTACCTTCAACATTCAACCCAGCAGAAACCATCTCTGCCTCTGCATTTTGCGTCCAGCTACAAACGTCTACATATCCTGACACCTCTGGGTTCTTGTGGAGTATTTCCCGGTGGAGCTACAGCATGTCTTCACAGTCAGAACTGTCATTAAAAAGTTTGATGATTTATTTTGTGAAGGATGGTCAATACAGCTGGTATCTACAGATGTGGAGCAATTTATTTTGACATTAAATTAAACCAGAATCAGTGTCTACAAATGAATAGATATTGAAAAGTGCTCTATATATCTCTATATTTATGNGAGGAACAGCGCAGGCTGTAGGCTTTGCTTTGCAGGTGGGGGTTACAGAGGATGTGGGATTTCGGGGATAGTCTTCTCCTCAGCGTATCTTTACCCCTCCTCTGCAGATTGTCTCTGCTGGATCGACGTCTTTATTTCATGTCCACATCAGTTCTTTTTAGTCTCCTCCTTTGCACTCTGTTCTGGTTCCCGTGTTCCCTGCCAGATTACTTTTGGATTTATACCACAACTACCTTCAACATTCAACCCAGCAGAAACCATCTCTGCCTCTGCATTTTGCGTCCAGCTACAAACGTCTACATATCCTGACACCTCTGGGTTCTTGTGGAGTATTTCCCGGTGGAGCTACAGCATGTCTTCACAGTCAGAACTGTCATTAAAAAGTTTGATGATTTATTTTGTGAAGGATGGTCAATACAGCTGGTATCTACAGATGTGGAGCAATTTATTTTGACATTAAATTAAACCAGAATCAGTGTCTACAAATGAATAGATATTGAAAAGTGCTCTATATATCTCTATATTTATGAAGGACTGTCAGCTGCCACATTTGGTTTTATATAAAATATAATAAAACACTTGAAATGATAAAAAAAAAAAAAACTCTCCTAACTCTTGCAGGGAGGTGATTGAGAAAAAGCCGGAGGTTTTTAAGATCGCCTGCCTTAGTGACATCGGGGATCTGTTCAGGCCACACAAACAACCTTTCTACGCCGCCTTCGGCAACAGGACTAATGTAAGCTAAACTCCACACTGGTTGCAGAAATGTTTTTTTTTGTATTATTTGATTTCTGTCATTTAGGTGGTCTCTGAAATATTTAGCACAAGAACTTTTGCACTGAAGCTTATCTGTATTGCTTTGCAGGATGCTTATGCCTATAAGCAGGTTGGAGTATCTGAGGCTAGAATCTTCACAGTTAACCCTAAAGGAGAGCTTATCCAAGAGATGACTAAAGGCAACAAGTCTTCGTGAGTCTAACACCAATAGTAAAACCTCAGCTGTTACATCAAAATGAATATTTGTGACATGCTGTAATACATTCATGGATTACGATTTGTAACATCTTGGTTGGATGCTTGCTCTGCAGGTATAACCACCTGAGTGGGTTGGTTGAGCATTTCTTCCCCGTGCTCTCTGCTGAAGGCAGTAACTCCTCTGTTCTGGATTATCCTGACTACAGCAGCTTCTCCTACTGGAAGGAGCCTCTACCAAAACTGGACATGGACGCTCTGCTGTAGACCGAACCAAGTCTTCAGTCACCATAAATGCACACAGAAACCTAAAACTTTCTTTTTATTAGAACAGGAGACAGCTGTTATTGATTTTATTCTGCACTCAAAGGTAGATCCTGTGTCAGCTATTTGAGTCTGAGTCACTGAATAAATTTTCTCTTAAACAGTGACAACTTTTTAAAATAATTTATAATTCTTATTAAACGCAATGTTCAAAACCACACCAAGTGATGCCTGAAGCATAGAAATCTTTAATGTTAATGCCTTACTTGTAAGCTAATGGAGATTTTCACTGTAAATCCCAACATGCACCATCATCCATGCATCAGAGTGAGAAAGAGATCTTGTTTTTCTTAAGGTTTAAGGTTTTGTAGCTCATTTTATCCCAAAAAAACAAGACTGTTTGAAAAATTCATTATAAATGGATCAGTACGATCTCATTGAGTTAAATGGTTACAGCTTTATGTTTGCATAAAAGCCTTTGGAGCTTGAATAAGAAGTAGATCTGATGAGTTACTCTAGCCTAAAGGTTATTTAGCATAAGAACTTTATATAATGCAGAAGACTGTGATGCTAAGTTTAG